GCCCCTGATGCCTGGAGTTTCTCGGGGGAGACTTGCTACGGCGGCCCGAGCTAGGCTGCGGAGGTTTCCCGAAACGCGTGGCCGAGCTTTTGGTTTCAGCGCCCGTGAACGGCCGCAAGCTGGCGGGTACGCAAGTGGGGGATGAAGAGGCCCCGCTGCTGTTTTGCTGGGTCCGTGGAGCGTACTCGCAGCGCAATGTTAGAAAGTTCGCAACGCCATGTTGCCCGAGTGAAGTGGACGGCGGAGACCAGACCTTGCCGCGTCTGCGCGCTGCCTGCATCCGCTGCGAAATATGTCGGTCTCTTGTGCTGAATCTGAATGCCAGGTCGAGCCTGGCGAGGCCACTGTCGTCCTTGAGGTGGCTCGGCGGGGCGATGTGGCAGAGGCGCCCCTCTACCCTGCCTGGAAGCCATCCGAGCCCGAATAGCGGCGAGGGAGGCTACCAGGCAGTAAGCTGCCTTCCGGAAGCTGGTTGGGCGATTGTGCCCTCCCCCCCAACACAAACAAACGCATTTTCAAGTACTAGGTATTCGCGCGATTCCCTCTCGTCCTTTGGCGTGCCGCCCTGTGGGTCCTGTGGGACGCGTGAGGCTGGTGCCCCTGCGGGACTTGTGCGACTTGTGGGACCTGCGAGACATGTGCGACCTGGGCGACCTGCGGCATCGGTGGGTCTTGTGGGACCTGTGGGACCTGCGCGACCTGTGCGGCCTGCGAGATCGGTGGGAGCTGTGGGGCCTGCAAGATCTGTGGGGCCTGTGCGAAGCGTCGGCCTTGCTAGGGCCTGCGAGACCTGCGGGCCCTGCGGGACCTGTGGGGCTTGCGGGAGCCGTGGGCCTGTGCGACCTGTGGGACTTGTGGGACCTGTGGGACTTGCGAGACCTGTGGGACCTGCGAGACCAGTGGGGCCTGTGAGACTCGTGCGATCTGTGAGGCCTCAGAAACCAGCGGGACTGACGAAACCAGTGGGACCTGTGGGGCGTTGCCTAACGACCCGCGTTGACGATCCGGCGGGGGGCGGGTCCTATAATGTAATGATACCGAAGAAAATCCCCAATCCGAGAATTTTCAGGGCTATGGGGCTACAGGGCTGTATGGCCATAAGGCTATGGGGCTATTGGGCTATGGGGCTATAGGCCTATGGGGCTATAGGGCTACAGGGCTATAGGGTTATTGGGCTCTGAGGCTATGAGGCTATAGGGCTATATGGGGCACTCGGGCGATCTATTATGGCTATGGGTCTACAGTTCCATAGTGCTATAGGGCTATAGGGCTATAGGGCTATAGGGCTATAAGGCTATAAGGCTAAAAGGGTTATGATTTGGGCTGCAGGGCTAGCGGGCTATATGGGCTAGTAGGGCTATTGGGCTATAGGGCTAGTGGGATATAGGGCTATAGGGCTACCAGGCACCCAGGCACCCAGGCGCCCGGGCACCCGTGCACCTGGGCACCCGGGCACCCGTGCACCTTGGCACCCCGAGGCACCCGGGGACCCGGGCACCCGGGCCAGCCGCCGAAATCTCCGGCTCACCTCGCCTAACCATATGAATCCGCTAGGACCCCTTACAGAGACAAGCTCTGCTTGGTGGGGGAATTCACACACGGGATGCATTTTAGGTCGCCTGGCAATCCCGGTCAACGATGGGACGGGTGCGGGCTTAGTGTGTAAATCGATGCACAGAACGCACTTCACGTAAAGTGGTGTGCCCCCGCGCGCCCAGCTCGCGACTTTTTTAAAATTTCCGCGTGTCGTTTGCGGAAACAAGGGTGGGAAGCGTCAGTCGTAAAGTGGGAAGTGTGTTCTAGTGCAGAATTTGAAATGTGATACTGGAGAACAGCTCCAATCATAATCTTTTAAGGGCTATGAGGATGTGGGGCTACCAGGGCTGTAGGGCTACAAGGGTATGTGGCATTCGGCCTATGGGGCTACAGGGCTATGGGGCTATAGGGCTCTAGGTCTATAGGGCTATCGGTCCATAGAGCTATATGGCTATATGGCTATCGGGCTATAGGGCTATAGGGCTATATGGCTATCAGGCTATAAGGCTATATTTGGCTATTTGGTCGACAGTGGCAATAGGGCTATAGGTCTATTAGGGCCATGCGGGCTGTGGGGCTATAGGGCTATGGGGCTATAGGGCTGTAGAGCCATGGGGCTATAGGGCCATTGAACTTTAGGGCTACAGGGCTATAGGGACATTTGGGCTATAGGGCTATTGGGCTATTGGCCTATAGGGCTGTCGGGCTATATGCCTATAGGGCGATAGGGCCACGAGGCTATAGGGCTACAGGGCTATTGGGCCATTGTGCACCCGGGGACCCGGGCACCTGGGGAAGCCATCGGAATTGGTGGCCCACCTCACCTGACCATATGAGTCCGCTAGGACCCCAACAGAGGCAAGCTCTGATTGAGAATTCTGCTCATGATTCAAACATTTCCTCTTTGCGATTGATGCTTCCAGTCTGTTTTCCACGCGCGTAACGCGGAAGAAATCACATCGTAAAGTGGGCGTGCTGGAGCGCGCTACTTTGCGCGAAGTGCGTCCCGTGTTTGGTTTTGCGCGCTGAACCTGCCACCGCCCGGTCGTGAAATGGGGCCCCCGGGCAACGGGAAGTGCGTCCGTGTATGAACTTGCACAGTGAACCCGCCCGCGTCCAATCTTTGAGTCGTTTCGCCAGACTTCGAACATCTGCCGCCGTGAGTGGATTTTCACAGCGAGCCCGCTCCCGCCCCCGCCCAACGCGGAGTTGCGTCCGACAACGACGGGCGGGTCCTGGGCCCAAGGCCCAGAACGCAGCCGTTATTGCCAGGAACGGCGGACGACGACGACGACCGCGGCGACGTCGACGGCGACGACGACGACCGCGACGACGGCGACGACGACGATGATCGCGACGACGAAGACCACGGCGACGTCGACGACGACGACGATCACGACGACGACGACCACGACGACCGCGACGACGACGGCGACCACGGCGGCCGCGGCGACCACGACGAAGACGAAATGCGTTCTCGCCACATCGCCGGCCGCTGCTTTGCTCTCGCTCTTCAGCCGAGGCATCATCAGCGTCCTCGCTCGCCTCCTCCTTCTAATCCTCCTGCTCCTCCTCCTCCTCCTCGTTTCCCTCCTCTTTCGCATCTTCATGCTCTTTTCTCTCGCGTTCCCCCGCGACCCTCCTAGGGGGGCCGCGACGGGCCGCGGCAGCCGTCCGGGCATTGTTTTATCTATCAGGGATCGCGCGCTTCCCATTCCATCTGCCCGGGCGACAGAGGCTGCCGATGCTGGAGGTTGCCGCCAGAACGATTGGAGCACGCCCAAACAGGTTCGACATCCACACAGCCGGGACAACAATAAAACAACATCAACAAGACGATCATCTTGAAGGATAGGCAAATGGCAGCGCCAACAGAGAATCATGAAGTGACATTCGCCTGTCAATGTTGGCAGCCTGCGCAGGCGTGCGCCATGGGCCAGGATGTTGATGTGCCATATTTTGCTTGCGCGCCCGGTGGCAACGTTGGGAGGCGGATGCCACTTCATGCCCGGATGCTCTTCCAAGTTAGCCCTTCGCAGGGCCGCTGGCGTGGGCGGTTCCACGTCCTGCCTTGCGGCTTCGTTCCCGCAGTCGGATGGCTAACGTGCGCCGTGCAATGCAGACGAGACGCTTTTCCGTGGCATTGACAGGCGGATGGCACTTGATGCGACGGGCCCCGCCCGGTCTGATTCAAGATCGTTTCGGCTTCCATCCTTGTGCCACTTTTTTAAAAGAAAAGCAAAACATGACATGTGCGAAACCGTCGCCGTTTTCGAGGGCTGCTTGGGTGGTCAGCTATAGCGGGTAGCCGCCGCAGGTCCGAGTGAGACCTCGTCATCCCTGGGGGGCTGCGATTTGCGAAACTGTCGCCAGTTTCGAGGGCTGCTTGGGGGGCCAGCATAGCGATCTGCGAAACTGTCACCACTTTCGAGTGCTGCTGGTGGGTCCAGCGGAGTGAGGCACCGCGCAGATCAGAGTGAGACCTCGCCGTCCCTGGGGGGCTGCGATCTGCGAAACCTTCGCCGCCTTCAGGGCTTGCTGGTGGGTCCAGCGGAGTGAGGCATTGCGCAGATCTGAGCGGGACCTCGCCGTCCTTGGGAGGCTGCGATCTACGAGACCGTCGGTGCATTCGAAAGTTGGCGGTGGGTCCAGCGGAGTGCTGCACCACGCAGATACAAGCGGGACTTCGCAATCCCTGAGGGGCTGCGAACCTCACGAATGCCGCTCGCCAAAGTATAGGTGCCCATGTCACGCCCCCACCTCCGCACAACGTTTTCCAAGCGGCTCATGCCCCGCATTGTGCGATTTTTGCTTCGCGCTGCGTCGGCAGGTTGTGAGGATGCCCCTTGAGGAGGAGGACTTGGGGGTAGCTGTTTCGATTCTGGAGGTGCCCACGGCCCTGGCTTACGCCGTGCGCCAGTTTGGTTGGAGAGACAAACGGAGGACCTGCACCTCCTAAAACTCATTCAGGTGTCCAGGACCCGAGGTTTTTCTGTCAGCGCAGGGGGGCCCAGGGGCGCGAACTTCCCACGCTCGGTTCCCAGCCCGGAACCATTTCAGTTACTGGCTGGCTTACTGTGGCCCTCAGCCCCCTGGTTCGTGACCGCCAAGCTCGCCTCGACCTCTCGCGGCGTGCTTGGAGCGCCGCGCGCCTTCCTCTGGGGCGTTTCAACGCATCTTGAGGCGCGACGCTGCCAGTTTCGTGGGTCATCCCCTTACCCTATGTTCTCTCAGTGAGTCGACGGCGGCCAAACTAGGGTTCTAGTGTATTCTGCAGTGTATGAACGCTGCCGTTCTCCCGACGGGCCTCGGGCCCAACTTGGCCAAGACTAAGATCCCCCTCGCGCCCGCTGGGCCAGGCTCGACAAGTCATGCAAGGATGTTGGTCCCAGTCTGGTCGAGTTTTTGCTGAAGGGCTCTGGGAACTGGCGCGCATCCATAGGCTCGTTTCGTGTCTGGGCGCGATGCTCACGGACAGAGTCGACATTGGACCCGAGTTTATCTACCGCGTGGCCTCGGTGGCGGGGGGAGCCCGACCTGTTCAGCGCGTTTTGCTCCCCCGAAAATCGTTTTGACCCAGCGGGCAAAAAGTGCGTTGCGCTGAAGCCTTTGGGCTCGCGGCCTGTTCCGTAATGTGGTGGTCTGGAATGATCCTATTGCTTTCATTCGGAAAAAAATTGCTTTTGCTCATGTCGGGCTTGATAGGGCGGTCCCGGGCATGCCTCTTGCGAACTCCAGTGAACAGCGGGCCTCGCACCGTGAGGTGCTATATCGAGACAACAGTTTGGGCATCGCATGGTGCTGAGTGTATCTGGCCTTCTCCGTTGGGGCACCCCTTCCTTCAGGGTCGGACCTGACTTTCTCTGGGGACAAGCACAGAGGACGGGCCATTTTTTCGCAGATGATCTGCGATGGCTGCTTGGTGTCGCGCCCAAGGTCAGCATCCCTCAGACTGGCGCTGTTCATGGGTGGATCGAGATGGTTCATCAGGCTCCTAGATCGTTCCTGCACATGGTCAAGACTGCTGCCCAGAGGGACCTGGAGCACCAGCCATCTTTCGCACGAGTTCGATGGACTCGAGAAGGCCTGTGCCACACTTGGATCTGCCCCGACTTCTACCGCGTCTGATGTAGTTGGCATGCGGAACAATAGGTTTGTTTGCAGGGTGGATTTGCCTCCGAGCGCACGCGTACGTACGTCGTGCAAACCCCGATCGTTTAGCTGCTCGCTCACAGCGGTGTCCGACGTTCATAGAGGCGTGGTTGACCACGGGGAGGCGCGCCCCTAAGGGGGACATGCCGTTCTGGAATGATTGGGGGCTCAAGGCTCCCCGTGCCCCACCTTTGGCCCCTCCTTCGTCCGCGCGGCTCCCGCCTGCCCCCCCCCCCGATTGTCGAGATGCATCGCGCGAAGCCTCCCACGACGCGAGTGCTCGCCCTGGAGCCCTGGATTCAGGGTAGAGTTGTCCTGCATTTTGCATGAAAGGACCGACAGCCTGACGCGCCGAGTCCTCTCCAGGGTATGCTTGGCCCTGACAGCGTGTCCCCACTGGGCGAAGCTAAGCCCACCCTGCTTAAGGTGAACTTTGGGCCGAGTCACAGGGGCGCCCACCACTGTGAGCCTCGTGACGACTTTTGGACTGGTCTTACCTTTCGGGGGGCGGTCGCGGGTGTGTGGTGTGACATTCCAATAGGCACTTGGCCCCAACGCCCAGCCCCCTCCCCCGTTGCGCCCCCGATTGCGCGGCCTCTTCACGAAGGTATCCGCACGCCCACCCATCCGACTTGTGTGCGCTTGCCTACACTGTCTGTTTCCGTGCTACATTGACCAGGGCACGGGTCCCCCTGCGGAAGGGCCAACAGCTGCTCCCCCCGCACTGACCCGCAATGACTCGTGATCATAAGGTGGCGACCCTCTCTTACGGGGCCACCTCGGAGCTCACTCCTTGAGCAAAGGGGTATGCACCCTGCCCGCCCTAGTGAGAAACCAGGGCCATTGCACCACCAATCGCAGGAGATTTTGCCAGATGCGCGCGAAGCACCAGCGTAGGTGTTTTGACGTTGTGCCCCCTTATGCGGATGTCCTTGTCCTTGTCTTCCTCCTCCTCCTTCTCCTCCTCCTCCTCCTTTTCGAGGTTCCTCACACGCTGCGTTTTGTCATCTGCGCCCCCCCATTGGGATAGCCCCCTTGCTGGTGTCGGTGTCGAACGCTCGTGCCGCTCTCTTTGTGCTATTGTCTCTCTGCCATGTCTAGGACAGGCTGCGAACCCGCTGGCCTTTAGTCCTGAGCCTGGCTCTGAGGAGGAGGAGGAGGAGGAGGAGGAGGAGGAGGAGGAGGAGGAGGAGGAGGAGGAGGAGAGGAGGAGGAGGAGGGCGGAGGAGGGAGGAGGAGGAAGAGGAGGAGGAGGAGAGGAGGAGGAGGAGGAGGAGGGAGGAGGAGGAGGAAAAGGAGGAGGAAGTGGATAAGAGAGGGGGGAGGAGGAGAAAAGTCTGGCGGACCAGGGGGGCCCTCCGAGCTGGCCCGAGCCAGAGCTTGCGCAATGGCCGCTTCCAGAGCCGGCCGCCTGCTGGGCCTCCGCGCCCGCGGCCAGGCTCCTTTGCCCGTGGTCGGCCGCGCGGGCGCTTCGAGCAGGGCCTTCTCGGCGGAGGCCGCCCTCAACGCAGAAGGCCCGATGGCGGCGTCTGCGTTACCCTGAGATCCGGGCGCTGCAGCTTCTTCACGCCGGGCGCTGCCGCGCGGCTTCGGGTCCGAGGAGCCATCGCGGATCGATCCGTTCCGAAAGCGCCGCAGAAAGATAGGGTCGAGAGCTCTGGTCGCGATTTCTGGTGCTGTTGTGCCTCGCCGCATCGTCGGATCTCATAGTTGCGCAGTGCCGACAATAGCCAGGTCCCGAGGCCCCCTCGCAACCGAGATCCCAGAGCAACGGCTGCTCTGAAGGCCCGCCGTGCTTGGACACCCCAGGGCACATCTTGCGGGCTCACAGGCCACGAAACGAAGTCTCTCTTGGCCTCCCCACAGGAGCGCCACTGGCAGTCCCCAGTAGGCCCGTAGACGGTGTCGCCAGCGGACCTTATTTGCAACCCCTTCCAGTCCCACTGACAGTCGCCAGCGGGCCCCACTGACAGTCCTCATTGGGTCTCACTGACGGGTCCCAGCGGGCTTACAGACAGTCCCCAGTGGGTCCCATTGAGGGCCCCAACGGGCTCAATGTTCCTCCCCAGTGGGCCCACTGATGGCCCGCAAGGGCCCCGCAGTTTGTCAAGCAGACTCATGACCGCCAGTGTTACCACGTCCGTCAGTGTTGACAGTGGGGCCTGCTTGGACCGTTTGCGGATTGTCAGCAAGGCCGCCAGTGGACTGTCAGTGGACTGCCGGTGGGTCGTCCGTTAACCATCGGTGCATTGTCAGTGGAGCTGTCAGCGGGTCGTCGATGGGCTGTCAGTGAGGCAATCAAGTATGCCGCCAGTGGACTGTCGGTGGGATCGTCAGCGGATTGTCCGCGAGACATCCATCGAACATCAGAGGAACAGGGCCGGTATTGAGTACAGGAGAGTGGGCTCACATGGGGGTCGCTTCGCGGGAAAGCGCGACCCCTATTGCCGATGTTGAGGGAAGGGGGGTGGACCGAGAGTCCCCTGGTAGTCCCACTGAAAGTTCACTGATTGTCCCACTGGCGGTCCACAGAAAGTCCACGGACGGTCCCAATGCTCTCCACTGCGCACTGCAGTTCTCCTCCCCTGACGCCTTCACCTGATCCCCCCCCGCCCCCTGGCACTCCTCGTGGAATCCCCGCTCGGCCTGGCACGGCCTCCAACGACACCAGACCCCATGCACCGACCACTCCACGAATGGCGACACATCTGGACACACCCCAAGAACGCCAGGATAAGAGGACAATCGGGCGCCGACCCTACACTGCCCCGACGAACTCAACGACACTCCCAAACTCTGCGAAACGACCTCGGCTCCAACGCGCCCCGCACGACCCCCTGCCCGATGCGCTCGCGCCGCCCGGCTCCTCCGAGGGCACGAGACACCGCGCACCGATCGCCGATCACTGACCAACCGACCGAACGTCCCAGTGCAGACCCAGCATGTAACAGCCAGACGCGATGTCAGCACCAGACGCCCATAGCCGCTGCGACGCCGACACGCTCCACGAAACGAGCGCGCCTCCACACTTCCCCACCCGAACTCCCCCCCACACCTCCCCCGCCAACTCTCCCACCAGCCACCTTCCCATACGTCGGAACCCACCGAGGTGCTTCTTGGAATGCTCGGGCCCTCTTCGATTCCGACCCTCGCGCTCAGCAGGACAAGCAGCATCACGCATGGAATCTGCCACACAAGCATGACTTCATTGGACTGGGAGAAACTTGCAGCACGCTCGGCCACGTGACAGCTTCCACGCTACTAGCACATACCCGCGCTTTTTGGTCGCACGCGCGATTCTCGACAATGTCCGCGCTCTCGGCACCAACGGCGCGACCTCTTCGAGCGTTGCGACCGCGACCAACAGGGGCCCCAGGGACGCGACGTCTGCCACGAGTTCGAAAAATGACGCCGGCTGCAGCAGCATAGCGACGCTGAGCGATGCGACCACGCACGATGACCAGCTGGCCTAGGGATGCGACGGCTGTGGCTCAGATTTCTGCTCCTACCGTTGTTGCGACCCTAGCGACCGTGGCCGCCGGCTGCTCCAGGGAGACGACAGCCGCCACGAACTCGAAGATCGGCTGCGGCAGCACCGGCACGGCAACGCGGATTGCCGCGCCTGGGGTGCCGCGACCATCTCCCAGACATGATCGCGTCGTGGAAAAATCTGGACGGCATGTTTTCAGCTATTTTCGGCCCCATCGGGCCCTCGCCGGGCCTCGGGGCCGTCGCGCAAAGACTCAGGACGAAAACCCGGTCCCAGGGAAAGGGTCAGGACTTCCAGGGGCGCCGTCCTGAAAAAATCAGGACGGCGCATGTCTGGGCTCCGCTCCCGACGCCACCGCCTCCAGAAAGTCACGACTCTCAGCACGACGGGCGCCCGCTCCGCAGCACGGCGACGGGCAGCGCGGCCGCCGAGCCGCGCGGTGTCCACGGGCAGCGCGATGTTGCGAGGATCCGCCGCCTGAGAATGAGCAGCTCAACGTCGATCAGCAACGCGGCCACCTCCAGCGCAGCGAGGAGCAAGCCCCCGCTGCCGCATTGTCCGCTACCGCGTCGCACGACAGAAATCGCGCGCCACGGCGGTGCCCAGTGCTGCGGCATGGCGCGCTACCGCAGCATCCACCGCGTTGGAGCCAGGCGCCCCGAGGCTGTGCAGCACTGTGGAATCGACCGTCGGGCATACTTCTCTGACCGTAATGTGAAAGTACGGCATCCACGCTGTGACGTGTCACGCTCCGCCCACGGGGCTCTCCAGCGCCGCGAACTCTATTGGCCCTTGCCTCGCCGAGGCTGGGTCGGCATCCCCTGGGCTCGCCGCAGACGGGCCGGCACCCGCCAGCACAGACACCAGCGCAGATGCCAGCGCCAAGGCCGCACAAGCGCCGGCACCAACAGTGCCGACGGCAGCACCGACGCCAGCGCCAGCCTCGGCGCCCACACCAGCATCTGAGGTACGCTAAGGCGCCAACTGCAGCGCGAGGCTCCGCGCCCCCTTCGACCCTTGGATTTTCCCGAGGCGCTGTGCCCCCTTGAATTCCCGAGGGGCTGCGCCCCCTTGGGTTCCGAGGCGCGGTGCCCCGGTGAATTCCCGACTCTGGGGCATTGCAGATTGTCCGGCGCGCCGGCCCATCCGCTATCCGGCGGCCCATCCTTCCGACTCACCACCACCGCCTCCACCTGCCAACCTCCAGACGTCACCAACTCCAGCGCCTGCGCCAGCGCAGAAGCCAACGCCGGCGCCAGTCCCACCCCGGCACATTGGACAGCTCCGACACCTGCACCGTCGCCAACATCAGCGCCTGGGCCTACGACGCCTGCGCCAACGCCAGCGCCTTCACCCGCGCCGACGTCGCCTTCGACTCCAGCGTCAACGCCGACGCCTACGCCAGCACTGACACTGGCACAAACGCCAGCGCCAACGCCGCACAAGCACCGGCGCCAACAGTGCCCAGGGACGAGAAGCGGCGGGCAAATCCTGCCCCCCGCAAGAGATATATATATATATATATATATATATATATATATGAAAGAGCGTGTTCTACCGCTGCTGGCGGAAAACCGGGGGGGGTCACTACCGGTTCGAACCCCTCCCCCCCCCCCCTCCGGAAAAGGGGGGGGGTCACTACCGGTTCGAACCCCCCCCCCCCCCTCCTCATCATGAAAAGGGGGGGTCACTACCAGTTCGAACCCCCCCCCCCCCGTCGAGCTCGAAAACCGGGGGGGGTCACTGCCGGTTCGAACCCCCCCCCCCCCCTCGAAAACCGAGGGGGGTGCGGACAGTGGTGGGGACGGTGGTGGTGGGGACAGTGGTGAGGGGACAGCGGGACAGTGGTGGGGACAGTGGGACAGTGGTGGGGACGGTAGTGGTGGGGACAATGGTGAGGACAATGGTGGGAACAGTGGGGACAGTGGGACAGTGGTGGGGACGGTGGTGGTGGGGACAGTGGTGTGGGGACAGTGGGAATGTGGTGGAAACAGTAGGACAGTGGAGGGTACAGTGGTGGTGGGGACAGTGGTGAAGGCGGTGGCGAGGACGGCGGTGGGACAATGGGACAGAGGTACAGTGGGGACAGTGGTAGGGACAGGGGGACAGTGGTGGGAACAGTGGGACAGCTCAGTGGTTCGAACCGGTAGTGACCCCCCCCTCCGGTTTTCGGGGGGGGGGGGGTTCGAACCGGTAGTGACCCCCCCCGGTTTTCGAGTTCGAGGGGGGGGGGGGGGGTTAGGGGAGGGGGGGGGTTTTGCCGGGGAAGGGGGGGGAGGGGTTCCAGCAGGGGGGGGGATTTTCGGAGGGGGGGGGGGACCCCCGGGTTCCGGAGGAAAAGGGCGGCAATTTTCCACAGTAAAACGGCGGTGGATCACGCTCTCTCTCTCTCTCTCTCTCTCTCTCTCTCTCTCTCTCTCTCTCTCTCTCTCTCATATATATATATATAGTTTGTGTGTGTATATATATATATATAGTGTCTCCGCCATCCCAGCTACCTTGGCGTCAAGCTTGGGCGGATGGGCGTCCAGACCGTTGCGACCACCGCCTGCGCCAGCACCGACGCCAGCGCCAAAGTTGGCGCCCGCACTGGCACCAACGACGGTTCATGCCCCAGCACCGACGCCAACTCCAACGCCTACGCCTACGCCAGTGCCGACGCTGAAGTATTCGCCAGCGCCGATGCTGGCACCGACGGTAGTAACAACGCCTACGCCTATACCTGCCTGGTTCGACTTTGTTGCGTCTGGCTTGGGCTGATGGGCGTCCAAACCGTTACGACCGCCGCGTGCGCCAGCACTGACGCCAACTCCAATGCCTACGCCTACGCCGGCGCCGGCGCCGGCATTGGCGGTAGCAACGACGCCTGCGGCTTTACCTGTTTGGTTCGACTTTGTCACGTCAGGCTGGGGCTGATGGGCGTCCATACCGTTGCGACCACCGCCTACGCTAGCACCGACGCCAATTCCAACGCCCGCGCGTGCGCCGGCTATACCTGTCTGGTTCGACTTTGTTGCGTCTGGCCGGGGCTGATGGCGTCCAGATCGGTGTGACCGCTGCCTGCGCCAGCGCCGGCGCCGACGCCAAGCCGGCGCCCACGCGGGCACCAACGACAGTCCCTGCCCCAGCACCGACGCCAAGACCAACGCCTGCGCAGTCGCCAGTGACGACGCCAGAGTATCCGCCAGCGCCGACGCTGTCACCGACGGTAGCATCATCGCCTACGCCTATACCTGCCTGGTTCGACTTTGTTACGTCTGGCTTGGGCTGATGGGCGTCCAGACTGTTGTGACCACCGCCTGCGCGAGCATCGACGCCAGCACCGACGCCGGCACCAATGCCGGCGCCCACGCTGGCACCAACCACAGTTCCTGCCACAGCACCGACGCCAACTCCAGCGCCTACGCCTACGCCAGTGCCGACGCTGGAATTCTGCCGGCGCCGACGTTGGCAACGACGCCTGCGCCTACACCTGCCTGGTTCGACTTCGTTGCGTCCGGCTTGGGCTGATGGGCGTCCTGACCGTTGCGACCGCCGCCTGCGCCATCGCCGGCGCCCACGCGGGCGCCAACGACAGTCCCTGCCCCAGCACCGACGCCAACTCCAATGCCTACGCCAGAGCCAGTGACGACGCCGGAGCCGCCAGCGCCGACGCCGGCACCGACGGTGGCATCATCGCCTGCGCCTATACTTGCCTGGTTCGACTTTGTTACGTCCAGCTTAGGCTGATGGGCGTCCAGACCGTTGCGACCGCCGCCTGCGCCAGCACCGACTCCAGCGCTGACGCCAGCGCCAACGCCAGCACCAACGCCTGCGTACGCGCTGGCAACTACGACAGTTCCTGCCCCAGCACCGACGCCAACTCCGACGCCTACGCTTCCCTGCGCCAGTGCCACCGCCGGAGCCTCCGCCAGCGCCGACGCCGACACCGACGGTAGCGACAACGTTTGCTGTCCTTGCCTGGTTCGACTTTGTTGCGTCCGTCTTGGACTGACGGGCGCCCAGGCCGTTGCGACCACCGCCTACGCCAGCGCCGACGCCTGCGCCGGCTCACGGCCCTCGCTCTCCAGCCTCCGCAAGCGCAGCGCCAACCTCCAGCATCGGGCCCCCCACTTGATCTTCCGCCAATCGACGGCCAGCCTATGCCACTCAGCGTTCCGACTCACAGCTGTCAGCGTGCGGCTTCCATTCCCACCTCGACCGGTGGCCCTCCAGCCTCCGTCAGCTCGGCTCTCCGATATTCAGCGGCTCCGAACCCCCTGCCGACTCCGACTCCAGCCCCGCCCTCCTGAGGTGCCCTTATGAAGCGGCATCTTGGGTGCCATCCGGAATTAACCATTCTTTTTAAGAGTACGTTCGAAGACCCAGGGGCCTCTGACGACAACGTGGCCGCGAGGAAAGGGTTGACCAAGGCAAAGGCGCCCATCCGACGGACGTTAGCAGCGCGACGAGCGACTCCATCCACCTGCAGCCCCCTCACCAGCAGCACACTTGCGCGTTCGACGATGCTCTGGCCCATTGCTTCTGAGGACCAGGAGTGGCGGGCGCTCGCCAGCAGCGCGACCGTGAGAAGCTCCGATTCCGGCTAGTTCTCCTATTCCGACTCCTATTCCGATTCCGGCTCCCGCCCCGACGCTGGTGCAGCGACGTTAACCAAGTTGGCAGCAGAGACCCGCGGTCCGCCGACCGCCGCGTCGCGACCGCGGGAAACCCCGCCTCCCACGACCACCACCACCACCAGGATTTCCATCCCACTCCCGCTGCCACTACCACCGCTTCTTCTATCCCTGCGGCTCTGGCTGGCGCCTTCACCCTGCTCCCGCCGTCCCAAGATCGCGGCCTTGGGAGGCGAAATTCAACGCGTGACCCAGCTCAGGCCTTTGAGCTGAGGGGCCTGTTGGCCATGCCAGTGCGCCAGCACCCGTTGCCAGACGCCCAGTGGCCTTTATCCTGGCCGGGGACGGCTACTACTTCAACAGGTTCTTCTGCCCGCCGTGCGACCTGTGATGCCTTCCTTCCCGTTTCCTGGCTCCTCTGGCATTGCTTCTGGGGCGATCGGAATCGGAGTGTTTTTCTATCAGTGGCACGGATGCATTGGTATGTTGGGGTGCAACCCAACGCAGCTCTGCGCTCTCCCAAGCCATGGTTCCACCGACGGGCCCGCCCATTGCAGTCTACATGTGGGCTGTTCCCGGTGTTTGCTGCTCTTCCTCCTTCCTCTCCCCCTCCTCCCGCTCCTCCCTTTGATTTGCCGTCGAGTGGCGCAGGATCGCCATGCCCATTCCATTCTGAGGTTTGAGTGCCGTGGGCGCGAGATCTGCAGTCCAACTTGCGCGACCGTGCCTCAGGCTGAGCTGCCCGCGCAGTGCCGGCAGATATATTGCTCAGGTTTCTGGCTTGACTGCCGCTTCCTAGTCCGGGGTGGGGTTCCCTAAACAGCTGGTGTCTCTTTGCCTTCTTGCTGTTTGGCTTTCGTCGTCGTCGCACGAACGGGTGGGCCTCGCCATTATTTTGCACTGGTCGGGGCAGGGATCCCGACCACCTTCTCCAAGCCTGCTTGGCGGAGCCATCGCCCCATCACTTCGGAAGCTGGCGTTTTTTAATCATCAGGTGTTTTTTCTCTCAGCACAGCAGCTATATGTCTATCTATCTATCTATCTATCTATCTATCTATCTATCTATCTATCTATCTATCTATCTACCTACCTACCTACCTACCTACCTGTCTATCTATCTATCTATTTATCTATCTATCTATCTATCTATCTATCTATCCATCTCTCTCTCTATCTATCTATCTATCTATTTATCTATCTATCTATCTATCTATCTATCTACCTACCTACCTACCTACCTGTCTATCTATCTATCTATTTATCTATCTATATATCTATCTATCTATCTATCTATCTATCTATCTATCTATCTATCTATCTATCTATCTATCTATCTATCTCTCTCTCTATCTATCTATCTATCTATCTATCTATCTATCTATCTATCTATCTATCCATATATATGTATATATATATACATATATAAATGTATATATGGCACACATGTATATATCTATGTATTGTCCAGTGGCTGTCCACGGACGGTCCTCGGACGGTCCACTGGCGGTCCCGTCGACAGTCCCCTGGCGGCCCCGCCCCTGCCAGTCCATCGACGGCCCAGTGACGGCTCCACCAGCGCTTCTCTGACAGCCCGTCTACGGCCCAATGGACAACCCTCTGACGGCCTCCTCGCGCAGGTCGCCGACGGTCCACCCGATGGCTTCTCTCCGACAGTCACCACGAAGGCCAGCGGACGGCCCAGCGACGGTCCGCCGACAGTCCTCTGACGGCCCCGCGGACCACTGATGATGCACGCGCAACCCATGGGGTCCACTGAACAGGGGGCCACAGGCGAACCCTACCCCTGCCCACCACGATGTCTGAGGGGGAAGGGGGGGTCACTTTGCTCGGGAGCTCCCGAACGAAGCGAACCCCACCTTCCCCCTCAGACATCGTGGGGGGCAGGGGTAGGGTTCGCATGTGGTCCCTTACTGAAAGCTCCAGTGACGGTCCTGACCGCACTTCTTTCCCGATCCAGGGGTCAGTCACCGGGGCCCGCTGGGAGCTGACAGTGGGCCTGCTTGGGCCCGTCAGCAGGCAGGAGGCCCAGAAATGCAGTTCGGTCCATCCCCAGGCTACATCCAGCATGCAGCGAAAGGTGGCCGTGAGGCGCTGCTTGGCCCCTTTCGCAGCTCCGGAAAGTTCGACGCGCTGCTCCGAGGTAACATGGAGTGCACTTCCGTCGGCGACGGTGAAGTGACATGCGCAGTCACCGTCGTACACTTAGTGGGGCAGCTTCGAAAGTCAGCGCCGATGTGCAATGAACGCCACGAACAAATCTGTAGCACTCCGTCGTTGTGGATAAGAGTGAGGGGGCGGCGGGGACGTCGGTAGTCTGCGAGGCTCTGAAGAAGACCGCCGCAGGCGCTTAGGTCTTACAAGTCATACGACGAGCTCGCCGCAGGCGCCGATTTCGATTTGAAAGCAATGCGGGCGGGTCGCGGGGTGTGTCGCGGGCGGGTCGCGGGGTGTGCCGCGGATGGGTCGCGGCGGGGTCGCGGCTGGGTCGCGGCTGGGTCGCGGGCCTGGTGGTGGCGGGTGGGTCGCGGGTGGGTCGCGGGCGGGTCGCGGGGTGGGTCGCGGGTAGCTCGCGGGTGGGTCGCGGGCTGCGGATGGGTCGCGGGTGGGTCCGGGAGGGTCGCGGCTGGGTCGCGGGGGGGAAGACGACACCAAACAATACCAATCAACAAACAACAACAAACAACAATCCCCACCGCAGAACGTCATTTCAGCCACGCGCCCAGGGACAGTGAATGTCCGTTCGGCCCCCTTACTCTGACATACTTCTCTCGGCGTCGAAATCCTGCGCACCGCACCGTCGGAAAAGACAGTGGCGGTGCGTGTCGAATACGCCTGCGGCGACTAACCGCCGCCCCCCTGCCCCTGGGAAAGGCGCGCGGCTGATGTGGAGTGAACTATCTTAGACCAGCTTCGAGGCCTTCTTGGACTATCTTGGGGCCATCCAGACCGTCTTGGAGAAGTCTGACCCGTGCCCCCGACGTCGTGTCTTTTTCGTAGTGTGGACCCCTGGAGGTCCCGACTCATTCACCGGGGGCTAGCTTTTCATTCTGATCAGGTTTTTTATGGTCTGCGGGCTCGGCGAGGGCCTCCAGAGGCCGAGGGGGTCTGGACAGCCTCGGAGGCCATCTTGGGGCCATCGTGGGCCGTCTCGGAGACGCCTGGCGGCCCGAGTTGGGAGCCTAGTACAAAGAAGCGATAGGACCATAGGATGGTAGGTGGAACGTAAGATGTAGAAGAGGATGACAGATCCTGTTTCCAATGCAATAGTGAACTGCTCCACAGTCCAAGCAAATATAATGCCGACGCTTGAGCCAAGCACCAGCGGGACGTTCGCTACGCTCGCTCTCTCTCTCTCTCTCTCTCTCTCTCTCTCTCTCTATATATATATATATATACCCCAACCCTCTGATCCACTTTCAGAGTCGAGGGGGGAGGAGACGAGCAGTTGCGAGTGTCAAGCTACATTGGTATATACACGTGCGCATGGCCTGAAGCTGTTTTAGGGCCATGGGGCACGCAAGTGGTATAAGTAGGGAATAGAGCGAGCCATACCCAGCTCGGCCAAGTACCAAGTTGGGCCTGCACAGTTTTTGAGATGAGCGTGTTCCCACGCAGTCATATCCCGCGTGTCACACCATTGTATGCAGTGTATAATGCTCCTATCCATCATCTGTCCAATCCAGCTAATATGACCCAACAAGTGTACACCCAGTAGTTTTTTTAAGATCCTTACTCGATAGGGGCTTAAATACAGATTCAGCGTCAGTGGCAAGCGTAACTTTGATGCACAGACCGCCGATCTCCAACCTATTCTTGAGTTGTGTCGGTGTTAGCGGTCCCACCTTAATTAAGTTCGCGTGAGGTGACGATGGTCGGGTAGCAGTCCTCTAAGTTGTGGGCTGCTGCTAGCGCTTCCGCAGAGTAGCTTGACCTGACCTGCAGTCGGTGTGACTTGCAGTAGGCGTCTATCAGGTCTACGTCGGATTTGCCATCACGTGTGTTTCCACGCGGGAGCAGGTTGGCACCTTTGGTGCCACACCCCTTCGTCTCGTCTTCAGCGTCTCTGGTCAACCGTCGGTAGCCAGAATCGTGGTGGAGATCGAGCTCTCCAGTGGGCTTCATAGCAGGGTATACTATCTTCTGAGGTTGTGCTTGAAGCTTACGCGTGATCGCGTTGAGCCGTCGTACCTGTAGGTTCGTCGGTTCCTGCACCCGTTGTAATGAGACGACGTAAACCATCAGCCAGACTTGGCTTATCAGGGCATCTGTTAGTGCCTGGCGGCGGCTCACAAACATGTCAGCGACAGTTTTCGTAGCCTTTTTCTCGGCCCCCGCACTCGTGAGTTCTGGCTGTTGGATGGGATGCAATTCATTGGCGTACTCGTCCTGATCCAACGTTGCGTCGCCGTTTTCGCTTTTGGTTTAATCTGGCGGCACAGTTGTTGTAGGTGTGTTTTTTGAGCCTATACGTGATGGACGTTTGTTCAACGCATTTCACGTCGCGATCGATAGTTTCATCCTCACTGGTCATTTCTATATCGTCTACATGCTTGGCTGCCAGTCGCGTCTCCGCTGTTTCGAGCTCTTCGTCGTAAGACGTAGCTCGAAAGCCGAAGCTGCGCATGATGTTGCGCAACTTCTAGGAGAAGGCGCGCGGGGTGTCCTTCGTCCCTGTGCTTGGTTTGAGGCACTGCGGGCAATACTTGTTTTCACCGTGCTTTTCGAATCCAGGCAGGGTTCGGAGTGCAGAAGCAGAGCCTGGTGGTAGGGTGAAGCAGACAGTGCGTTCCCGCTCCCCAGTAGCTTCGGCAAGCTCGCGGTATGTGGTGCCTTTTAGAAAGGCATTGTCTATATCCATATACGCATTGATCCTGTCAGGACGGCCTGCCCCTTCACTTGTCAGCGGATGTTGGCCCGCCCTTCGCGCCGTCCACGAGAGGGTTTCGACGCCGAAGGCCTCTAGATCCAGAAACTCCAGAAGAACCCATCGAAGACGGATCGTCTTGACCATCTGTCCCCTTCGTTCTTGACGAATGCCCATGTATAAACATATCGGGAGGTCATGACGTTTGCGGCGTCAGTGAGGGAGGCCATCTTAAAGCATTCACTACCCAGCCAAATCCTTGATTCAGTATAACGTGCCTTGCCTACCTGGAGTGGATGAGCTTTCATCTCAGCATTGGTGAGCAGGCCGTTTTCTTTCACCACTCCCGCGCGTTTTGCGGCAGCGTAGACGTATATCCGCATGTTGATGATGCAATCATCGTACAGTGAGCTGTGCTGCTGTTCGGTAAGCACTACCTTGGCCATGCCAGCTGTAAAGCATATTCTATGTATTTGCCATGGGTGTCACTGTCGAGAGTGTAGTCATCATCATAATGCGGACAAATGAGACGTGATGCGCATCCTCATTGTAGTAATGCGCGTCTCCGTGATGTCGTGTGCGCGGGTCGTCATCAGCGCCAGTGATCAAGACCGATTGCTCTGAAATAATTTTCATTGGTACGGTGTGCAGTGCTTCTGGGGGCGTAGTGTCAAGAAGCTCGCGTTCGTCGTACAAGTCCGTGTGCCAAGCGTCGAGGACATATGTGCCCCGAGATCGGCCGCATATTCTTCTTGGACCTGAGGTCGGCGCCCCGTAGGTGGAGTAGGCTCCTCAGCAGGCGTCTCCGCCGGTTGAGCGTCTCCGCCAGGCGCAGGACCGTCCGCGTTCGCTTCGAATTTCGAGAGGTCCTCATCGAAGCCAGCCATAGATTTGGATGCTTTCAGACACGGCCTGCAGGAGTGAAACTGTAGAGGTCCTTGGTTGAAGGCGTGGGCGTGTACCGAAAGACTCAGCATTGCAAATGCGTTTTTCTCAAGGAGGCCCCATTTCAAGGTCACGCACTGTGGGCCCAACGGCAAGATGATACACTTTGATCACATCCTCTTGGACTTCAGCATCGTTTAACCGATCTCCTTTCCCATCCCCATCCCCTTCGAGACCCCCACCAAATTGCCACCCCAGTTGGGGATACACCCATCGAAACCCGAAGGGAACGACCTAGATTCCCATCTAGGGGGGCAAATCGGCCAGTGGGGCCCAGGCCACGCCGCTGGGGATGGGGATCGGCTAAACGATACTTATGGCGTCCACGGATCTCCTGACCTCGCTGACTCGAGAGCCACTTGGCGAAGCCGTTTCCTCGTGATCTGCCTCGTCGGCCGCCGGGGCGGGCCTCCGCCTCCTCCCTCTGCTCCTCGGTCTTCGGGAGGAGCTCGAGCCTGGCACGGCACTGCTTGCGGTGCGTGTAGAGGGCGTGGCCGTTCTTCAAGCATTGGCGCAGCGCCCTGGCGTGCCTATAGGCCTACCGGACACTGTTCTAACAACCTTGTGTGGTTTCCACGAAGTGTCCTCAGAACACTTCGGGCTGGGACTGTCTTGCCTTAACACATCGGGCTTATGTTCTGAGAGCCTTGTTTTTGTGATTTGAGCATGTCTGGATTCCGAGAACGTGTCGTGGTGGGCCTATAGGAATGCCGGGACGGTCGGTCCCTGCTGAGGAGGGCGAGAACAGTTCTCCGACTTCAGGGCGAAGCAGACACGGCGTTCGGCACGGAGACGGCCAGCAGCATCGCCTGCGTCTAGGACGAAGTCGGGCTTGTCCCTCTACAGGAGGAGTATTCCACAGTAGTCAAAAAATAGTCCCGGGACGATTCGTTGACTATCTTTGAGCATGTGGGGGGCATTTTGGGACTATTTTTTGTTTTTCGTCCAAAATCGGCCTGTGGGGGGACAGGCCCGACCCGAGTCTATCCGAGGCGGGAATTTATCCATATGCACCGCCTGGAGGGTCAATTTTCGGAGCCTCGGCAGGCGGTGGATATGGACATATTTGGGCCCCCGTGGGCCGAAACATATCTATATCCACCGCCCGCTGGGGCACCAGGACATCGGTTCCCAGGCGGTGGATATGACTAAATCCCCGCCTCGCACAGGGGACTGCCCGGAACCGCGATCCTCGGCCCTCGGCCTTGGCGCGGGTTCCGCGGCGCACGCGCGCTGGCCATTCTGCCACCCGCGAGCCCCGGTGGTGAGTTCGCGGTCGTCGTGTTCGGCCGCGTCGCGTTGGCGGATTCGACTTGCCCCCAAACATGTACTCACGTATGCCTAAGAGAACTGTGTGTGTTCTTGGAAGCCTAAGATCAATCCCCGCCTCGCAGTCCAGGACCTTTGCCCTGCCGCAGCAGGGCGCAGGCCCGCGCGGCGCCGGCCTCGCGTGCGTGGGCGCTGCTGACTGAGCCAGGCGCTGCCTCTCCTCGGGCGTCAGGGCCCCGAGCTCCAACACCTCCTCCTCCTCCTCCTCCTCCATTCCCCATCCCACCTCCTCCTCCTCCGCCCGCCCGTGTGAACAGTTCCTCTTCGGCCCTGGGGCCCTCGGGCGAGGGCCCCGCCGGGGAGGCGCACGAGCAGCGGCCCGCGAGGTCGCCCCCACCGTCGCCTCTCCTCTCCGCGGCGAGCGCGGGGGTCGGGAGGGAAAACACACACAATTAATCGTCGATTCCCAGGAAAGTATGGGAAACTATGGGAAGTGGGAGGGAAGGCAAAAACCCAGAACATATGGGAAACTATGGGGAATCCTGTTAGTTGTGTGTATGTATTTGTGTGTGTGTGTGTGTGTGTGTGTGTGTGTGTGTGTCGCAGGGTCCCTGCACTTACGTCGGGCTTAGGGGGATATTCAAAAATAGTAAAAACATAGTCGGGGGACGATTTTTTGAGCATTTTTTTGCCATTTGGGAGTATCTTTGGGCTGTCTTTCGTTTTTTGACCAGAACCCTGCTGTGGGGGGGACAGGCCCGACCTGACCCTTGCCTCGTCCTGAACCGACGCCGGGGGTCCCAGAGGCGCCAGGTCCAGGCATTCCCACTCCGTCTCGCCGGTGATGCCCCGGCGCTACGGCAGCGCGGCCTGCGCGTGCTCCCGGATCGCCGCCGGCGAGTAGCCTGGGGCCGGGCCTGTCCCTCTGCAGTCAGGCGATCGCACGCATGGATCCAAGGGGGGCGTGGATCAGCGACGGGTCCCGTTTCCATGGGAAGTCGCGGATCTCCGCCGCCGAACGAGGCGGCACAGGCCGCGTTTTGGGGAGGGCACCTCTCCCGACCCATGGATTTGGAGACCGCGCGCGTAAGCCATGGATCGCTAATCCATGTTTGCGCGCCCCCTCTGCAGGAGGAACATTCAAAAATAATTAAAAGATCGTCTGGGGACGATTTTTTAGTATTGGTTGACCATGTTGGGGCATTTGTGTTTAAAACTATTTGTAACTTTTCGTCCAGCATCCGCCTGTAGGGGGATACGCCCGACCTTTCGCTGGAAGCTTGAGCCGAAAGCTGTCCGGACCTGGGTCCGCTGTCTGAGCCCCCTTACTCCAAGCCGGGATGAGGAGAGGCGGGGATTTGAGCGAGACGCGCAATTAGCTTCGACTGTTGAGCGAGCTGCCCTGCGCCTGCCCCGGCTCACTCCCTCTCTCACTGGCAGAGGCGGGGCAAGGGGCAGGCGGCTGGTTCTTGAGCCAGCTCGTCTCGAAGTTGCACTTCTCCTTGACCTCCGTGGCCATGTCGAAGGTGTCGGCGGACACGGGGATCAGGTCGACTGATGGGTGTCCGAACCAGTGCCTCGTCGGGTCCCTCTCCACCTCGCCCTGCAGCGCGTGCATGACCAGCTTGTTGGTCTTCAGGTTCATGACGGCCCCGAGCATCTCCAGCAGGCTCGCCGGCAGCAGCGGACAGGGAGTCCCCAGGATCAGGAACTTCACGATGCCATTGGTCTTGCTCATGGGTCTGGCGTTGGCTCCAATGCCGAGGTGGTGGTTCCTGTCACTGGAGTCATGTCCACACTGACCTTGAAGCCCTTGGCCTCGAACGCGGAGATGAGTCTGTCGAGATTCTGCTTGCCTATCAGTGCTTGCCTGGCCGCGGTGCCCACCAGCGTGTGGGAGCCCAGGTTGTCGAGAACCGAAAGCAGCATCGGATTGTTCTCCGGCTCCAGCATGAACATCTTGACCCATTCCGTTGAAGTCGCCGCACTCGTTCTCGCAGTATACGAACCCGTTGAACGCCTTGGGGAAATGAGCTCCGTTCTGGGTCCCGGCCTTCTTCTCGTCAGCCAAGCGGTCCAACTTGGATCGGTACGGTTTCTTGCACTCGTCCGCCACATGTCCCTTGTCACCGCAGTTCGCGCATCGCGAGCTCTTGCGTAGGTCGCCCGCTGTGAGCTTGCGAAATCATGGGCGAGCTCGTCGTCGATCGAGGAAGTCCCTTTCGACCTTCTTGGCCGCCTTCAGTCTCCGCGATCCCTGCCACGTGCGCCGTTTCTCTTTTCCCAGCTTTTCCTCGATCACCGCCGCGAAAACGAGAGTCAGGTCGGCCTCGTCCATGTCCTGCTCTTCGATTGTGGTGAGAAGGGCGATCGCGCCCTCATCGGGGAGGTCGATGGCGTCATCACACTCCTCGAGCTATTCTCCCGGATCGGGCGGAAAGGAGCTCTCATCACCATCGTTGGACGAAACGTCAGCCTCGAAGGTCTTGACAGCCGGGGGGGGAGAGTCCTGGGAAAAATGCGCTTCTCCGTTACATCTAGCATCAAGATCGCGTGTCGGACTGAGGCTGAGTCGGTCTTGCCCTTCGCCAGGGTCTTCATGATAATCTTGTTCTGGGGCGTGAGATTCGCACATTCCTCCAAGAATCTAGCTCGTACGTTGTCTGGCAACTCTAGTCCGAAGGTCTCTGCTTCCGAAATTTGAGCGTCCCTGCGTAACACGTAGTCCGTGAGCGAGTCTCTTCGTCTGATGTGATTCGTATGAAGTGCCTTGTTATGAGTTTCTCTCTCCTTGTCTCCAGGCCTCTCTCCGTTCAGTATGCCCAGATTATCCAGAAGAAGTCGGATTCCCTCGTCGGTGTCAGGGGTGCCACGAACAGTCCGAAATTTTGCCTGGATCTCTACCGGCAGTCCCTCGAGGACCTTGGTTGCCTGCTGCTCTGGACGATATCCTGTGCGACTAGCCCACGACTGGAGGCTGCTTCTATAGATGTCTAGGTTCTGCACCGAAATCTTCGCTTCGCTTGGAGGAGCCCCATCTGTCACTGAGCTATTCCCACGATGACGAAGCGCAGTCCTGGGCTTCCCCTGCGTGATTCCACGACTTCCAACCCCATGACTGCGACCAGTCTCTGGGAGGCACGGACCACCACTCCTCCTCTGTCTGGACATATTGAGTCTGGGCGGTCTTAGCTCGGCGACGAGTCGTTCCCGCGACCCCGTCGTTCCCGTCAGCGTCTCCTTGACCCGTCTCTCCTCCTTCACCAGCAACCATCGTTCCGCTTACCAACTGTAGCAAGGTAGAGTGACCAAAGGAATAATATAGGAGTAAGATGGGCAACACTTTTGGGAATCGAAGGGGGAGGGCGCCTCCTCGTCTCTGTGAGCTTGAAAGCCAAAGGCTGCGACGGAGCAGGCTAGGCACATGAGAGAAGAGGGGGAATGGATCCACGACCGATGATGATGATGATGATGATGATGATGATGATGATGATGATGATGATGATGATGATGATGATGATGATGATGATGATGATGATGATGATGAGGATGGTGATGATGATGAGGATGATGATCATGATAATGCTGACGATGATGGTGTTGTGAATGATTGTGATGATGCTGATGACGATGATGATGCTGATGATGATGCTGACGACGATTTTGATGATGTTGATGCTGATTATTAAAGCGATGGTGGTGGTGATGGTGATGCTGATTGTGATGGTGACTGTTCTGCTGCTGATGATGATGACGACGATTATGATAATGCTGCTGCTGCTGATGCTGCTGATGATGATGAGGACGATGCTGATGTTTGCGATGATGGGCGTGATGATGCTGAGGAGGAGGAGGAGGAGCAGGAGGAGGAGGAGGGCGACCAGTGTAGACCCAGGACTCATCAACGATGTTGGAAGAAACCCTCCCTCCACGCTCCTTCACCTTAGGCCCCTACAAGGTTTCATCTCCACTGAGAGCAATGCCCCGTCGGGAGACAACCGTTTGACGATCCAGGAGCGCTTCAAAGCACCATTCTCGCGACTCCTACGCCACGAATCAACCTGACTGTTGCGTTTTGACGATTCTGCATTTTTCCAGAATACATTCCTGGGACTTCAATTCAACACCACGAATCATAAGAACTTTTGCGCCCTGACAGTCCTGAGTCCTTTCAAAACACTTGATTCCTGTTACGTTGACCATGGGAACCGTTAACTTTGACACATGTTGTTGACGAGTGTGCGGTGAGGCGAGAGCCTCATTTGGAAAAGGAACCGCCCTCAATCCGTGAAGCTCTGCAAACTTTTAAGACGAATGTGCGCGGCGCAAAGGCGAGAGCCACATTTTGAACAGAAGCCGCACTCAATCTATGAAGCTCTTGAAATTTTGTACTTCGAATATACGCGGCGCTAATGAAGGAGCCACATTTTGACACCGGCCAGCTCTCAGTCGAGACGCATGTGCGCGGCGCTAAGGCGAGAGCCACATTTGGGAAGCGACCCGCCGTCCATCTGCGAAGCTGTTGCCACTTTCTTCAGCTTCAGGATCATAAGTGGTAACGGGAATATCCGGCGAGACGCCCCGCAAGCCCTTCCGACTGGCCTCGGGGTGCGACAGGGAGGAGCTATAAGGGAATGGAGAGGAGGATGAGGAGGATGAGGAGGAGGAGAAGGACGACGACGATGAAGGCGAGGAGGAGGAGGAGGTGGAGTGGGAGGCAGTGGAGAGGGAGGGCAAGGGAGAGGGGAAGAATCAGTTGAGGAGGTGCTGCGGAGCGGAGCCATAAGGTAACGCCGGCGTTGCAGAACAACTGGGGCACGATGCACGGCGGCGCCTCCGCCACGCTGGTTGACGTCCTGGGGACCATGGCCCTCCTCGCGCGGGACCCGCAGCGTGCGGGAGTGAGCGTGGAGATGTCGCAGACGTTCCTCGCTCCAGCGAGGGGAGGCGGGATAGGTGGTGGTGGATGATGATGATGATGATGATGATGATGATGATGATGATGACGATGATGATGATGATGATGATGATGATGATGATGATGATGATGATGATGATGCTGATGATGATGATGATGATGCTGATGATGATGATGCTGCTGATGCTGATGATGATGCTGTTGCGGATGATGATGATGTTGCTGCTGCTGATGATGATGCTGATTCTGGTGATGATGCTAATGATGGTGGGGAGGCTCAGCGAATGGAAGTGATGATGAGAAAGGGAAGAATATGGAAGAGCCACTAAGGAAACGTATGATATGATGAGTTTCAGGAGGGTGAGTTAAGAGGGGTGGGTATGATTCTGATGATACATACTATGATGCTTGTGATGCTGATGATGATGATGATGATGATGATGATGATGATGATGATGATGATGATGATGCGGATGCTGATGCTGATGCTGATGCTGATGCTGATTATAATGATGATGCTGATGATGTTGAGGAGGAGGATGATGAGGAGGATGCGCAGAGGCGAGACGGTCATCGCCAGCGGAAAAGTCGTGAAGTACGGCCGGAGCCTGGGCTTCACGGAGGTCAAGATCACAGACGGTAGCTGGGAGACTATGGTAACGCTCACGAATCTAATTACCTTTCCTACTCCGGACTCTCCCCTCCTCCCTTTCTTCTCACGAGGGATGAGGGGGGGAGTGCGACGGGAGAGGATTAGATCGGTGAGTGGAACGTGTGTCTCCTGCACAGCGGGAATACACTGGTCACAGGAAGGCACACGAAGGCGTTCCCGCAGAAGAAAAGCTGAGGCCCGAGATTTAGCCGGCCCTCTGGGACTGACGTGCTTCCTCGCATGGGGCATCTGACCAGCAAAACGCGATCATCGCAGCATCAGGGATCACTTGAGGCCTGTGCAGTATGGTCTCTGTCCTGCCACGTCCGAAGCATCCACCATCTCGTTCGTCTGTCTCCTGCGTTCTCTTGGCCATCATAGTCAAACTTTCTTGCGTTGCTCTCCTTTTGCACTTTCCCAAGCGAAGAGCTTATTGTTGCGAGTCACCCCCCGCTCTGGTACATATTTTCTCCATACTAGTCAGATAGTGAAGCGCCCCGCGGCCTGTGCGATGTCAACAATCAGGCCGTGGTGGATGTCGGTGTGCTTGGGGCTCGTGCTCGGCGCGCAGGCCTGGGCCATGCTTGCCCTTGTTTGTATGCTTGCTGCCATCTGTCCTCGCCGAAGTACACTTCTGTTGAACAACTTAGTGAGCCCCCGGAGGTTGGTGAAGAAGCATGGTGGCAGTTCCCGAAAGCTTTGCTGATGTCATATGTTTTGCCGCTTTTGTGCTCAGACTTGCGACCCCCGAGGGAGTGGCCCACGTGATTATTGGTCCTGTTGACCCTCGGAGCGTTCTTGTCGAGCGTTTTGTTGTTGTTGTTGTTGTTGTTGTTGTTGTTGTTGAACATTATTAATTCTAAAGAATAATTATTGTTGGGACCCCTGGTGCACGGCCCCCCCGCCGCGCCTAGGCCGCAGCTACATTTTCATCATTTTTTCGCGAAAGCTTCAGAAAAGTGGATGGGGTCCAGATCCGGTTGTTTTGTTGTAATCCGTTTTCCCTTGCAAAAAACACTATAAAATGACATTTCTTGTTCTAATATAATCAAATTTCAAGAATCCCTTGCAAAAAATAAGGTAAAGTGGACATTCGCGCGCGCAAGACGAAATCCTTCCAAAAGCTTAGTGTTCGGAGCGATTTTAACATAAAAACATCAAAAAACCAATGGTTTTTCAACAAAAAAATGTCAAAATCTCATCCCGCGCGCTCTTGCGGATTCGTAGGAAACCCAACACTTTTTAAACATTTCTGTCAAACGGGCTTTTGCGAGCAACTTTTTCGAACTTCTGCGACAACGGTTGCGCACCTGCCAGGGCCATCATCCCTGTCAAATAATACCATGCGGGACACATTCGTTTTTTCTTCGCGCGCGCACGCCGAAATCTCCAAAAACCATTGGGTTCTTAAGAATTTTAGCACCGCGCATCATTGACATCGGGACAACGATCGGGACAACCACAACCATCAGGACAACCATCGGGGCAACCATCGAGACAACCATCGGGACAACCATATCCTCTCTCTCTTGTGTATTCCCACATCCCTCAGGAATTTGCCCTAAAGATGTGATCAACTATCTTGTGAGTACGTATCATGTGTATCATGTGTATCATGTACCATATGCATCATATGCAACAGATGTTCTGTGGAAGGCTTAACAACTTCTGTGGGTTAACAAGGCTTAACAACTTCTGTGGGTGTACGAACGTAGGCTTAACAACTTCTGTGGGTGTGTACTCCACGCCAGTGTAGTAGCCACGGTCGTCCGCAGGCCACGAAGTGAAGTGTCCGAACGTCATAGGGCGGGAAGCTGGGTGTGGGTGGTGGCGAAGAGTCGTGTGGATATTTGGTAGAGCTTGCACTGCCCCCCCACAAAGTGGGGGTATTGGCTGGCGTCGCATGAAAACCCTGGCACTGGTGAGAACACTGAGCGTTCGGGTAAAGTGATTGTTGTTGTTGTTGTTGTTGTTGTTGTTGTTGTTGTTGTTGTTGTTGTTGTTTATTTCAATTATCAACATGTTAGGTGCTTTGTTCAAATGTATGGCTTTGGATGCTTCACTTTTACTGGTTTGATCGAGCCCCTTCTCCTGTCGGCCTCAGCACATCCAGCATTACAACAGAGTGACTGTTCTTGTGTGCGTTGCTTGTCGATTCCCTTTGCCTCTTCTGCCCAAGCTTGTTACTTTACCACGCTCTGCGCAGTGACTTTGTTTCAGGGTGCATTTTTGGTTGTTTGGGGTCCCGACAAAGCTGAGCATGCTTTCAACGCCTCCCGCGGGTTTGGCATCTTTTGGGTCACGCAGGTCCCTTGATAACACAGTGAAAGCCCTGCCTCACTCACATGCTCTCAGCACGCTGCGGAGGCGCATCTGCCGTCCTCCTGCCGAGAAGCAGAGACACCGAAGACGCCTGCCGCGAATCGTCGCCGTCCCCTGCCTTTTGGACACCGCCCATGTAGCCGAACGTCTTGGCCAGAGCTCAGCCGAGCGATCGGACCATCGTCGACCCATCATCCTAAGAGCCTCGGCCCTCCCACTGCGCACCACGCGGGGGGGGGTCCACCGGCTCTGTCGCTGGTTGGGGGGGGAGGGGGCCGCGAGGCGCAGGGCCTCGCGGAGACCAAGATGGCCTCCAGGACGGCTCAAGATGGCTCTAAGGCGGGCCTGTCCCTCTACAGGAGGAATATTCTAACATAGTCAAAAATAGTCTGGGGACTATTTTTTGAGTATTGTTTGACCATTTGGGAGCATTTTAGGGGGTATTTTTTCGTCACAAATCCCCCTGTAGGGGGACACGCCCGACTTAAAGATAGCTCACGTCAGCCTCCGACGCACATCCAAGAAGGCCCAAAACAACCTCAATACGATTTCAAGTGCCCTCCGAGCCCACCAAGGACCCCCTTCCAGGGGGTAAACATGCGGAAAGGGACACAAGACGAATTGATGATGCGCGCCTTCGGAAAGAGCGCCCAAGAGCGCCCAAAGAACCATTTGCGAGCCGGGGCGGCGGTCACACTACGAGATTCACGCGTATGTTGGGGCGGAAGGAAACCAGTCTCATATTGAAGTCTGCTATAGGAAATGAGGGTGTGAGCGGGTCGATGTAGTTTTCGGAATTGCGGAAGTCGGGCACCTAGATTCCCGATCTAGTTTAGCCGAGACCCAGTTTCACCGATTCTATTTTTAACGAGCGGAGGGTAGTCCCAAAGAGCGCCCAAGAGCGCCCAAAGAACCATTTGCGAGCCAGGGCGGCGGCTGAATTTAGTCCCCCCCCTCTTTTCGAATTGCGAGCCCAAGATTGGTTCGAGAGGACCCCCCTCCTCACCGCAGAGCCCCAAGACGGCCCCCCTGACCTTCCAGAAGAGCCCCCTAGAGGGCCGCGAGAGCGCCCCAAGTGGCTCCGCGAGCACCCCAAGAGAGACCCAATATTGCTTCACGATGCGTCAAGAAAACAAAAAGATGCGTCAGAAAAAAAATCAACTTTCAAGGAGGCTGCTGCACTGCATGTTTCTACACTTCCCTGATCAAGGCATCGTGCCTGGCGATCTGTTTCTGGATGGGCCGATGGGAGTGCGCGAAGTGTCGAGGTTTTTCCTGACCAATATCCTGATCTCCTGAGCGCGGGAGTTCACAGGATCAGAAGACCTCAGCTTCCTCTCCATTCTCCCCGATGCCGGGGATTTCTGCTGGGGTGGCCTCGTTTGCAGAGAAAGGACTATCCTCCGGATCTTTAGGAGGTGGAGAGGGGGAGGCCATTCGAGCTCAAGCCCATCAGCGATGCCTCATAGATGTTTCCAACATGCCTGGGACGAGGAACCTTTCTGCCAGCAGCCAGCAAGTCTTGACAAAAACCACGCCGCCCCGCAGCCTCATCGAAAGGAGGCCGAATGCCGGATCTGAGCTCTCGCCTGCCTCCTCCAGCCTGCCTCTTCCTGATCGTTCCCCTCTTCATTCACCTGGCGGTTCAGATGCTTAACGGCTTTTGAGCAACGGCCACGGCCCAGGGTGCAGCACAAACGCACGCGCATATGACGTACCTTTAGTAGTGGCTCCAGTGCGCAACATTGAGCCCGCATCGCAATGCACTCAAAGCCGTCATCATCATCATCATCATCATCATCATCATCATCATCATCATCATCATCATCATCATCATCATCATCATCATCATCATCATCATCATCATCATCGTCATCGTCATCGTCATCGTCATCATCGTCATCAGCATCATCATCAGCATGATCATCATCAGCATCAGCATCAGCATCATCATCAGCATCAGCATCATCATCAGCATCATCAGCATCCACCAGAAACGGCTGTCACGCTCAAGTGCTGGCAAGGAGCGACTCCAGGCCACCTGCACTGCTGGCACCGCTGCCCGTGGCAGCGGCGGAGCATTCCTCGCCCGCCGTGCCAAGTTCAACGTCGCCACTTGCCTCGTCGTCGAAGCTCGCGGCGCCCGCCGCCGCCGCCGCGGCGGCACGCTTGTCAGCAGCGCGCTTGACAGCAGCGCTAGCACGCTTGTCAGCAGCGCGCTTGACAGCAGCGCTGGCACGCTGTTTGTGCTTCGGGGCAGTCGGTTCAGGAGTGGCAGAAGTCGTCGAATCGTTCTTGAATTTGGCGTAGTCCTTGTTGTAGGCCGGGTGCCCCTCCGTGGCCATCCTCACCAGGTATTCGTCCACCAAGTGATCCAGCATTTCCGATTGGTGGCTTGGCTCGAAGCACGCGCCAATCCAGGGCGTCGGCAGCGTCTCCTCCCACGTGGCCATCAAGAAATTGCCCCGGCCCGGGCTCAGGTCGATGATGCGGCGACCGCAGTACGAATGCTTCAGCTCCTTGCAATAGGGCGCTGGGTGGGCCCACCAGAAGGCAGGCTCTGCATTCTTCTTGCCGCTCGCGGTGTCGACGTGGAAGTTTGGGCGGTTCCTGTCGTCGTCCTCGTCCTCCGCGGCGGGCGCCGCGGCCGTGGTCGCGTCCTCCTCGTCGGCGTCGCCCTCGCCGTCGTCCCCATGCGTCCCGACCTCCAACGGGGCGGGTGCTGGCACCACACGTCGCTTTTTTTGACATCGGGAGTGCACTTCCGCGACTCAGGACCACTGCTGGAAACCCACGGGGCCCACCACGTCGCCCATGCTCGTGCCGCTGTAGACGACCCGCGCCTTCTCGGGGATGGCGGCCTCGCCGTACAGTCAACCCGCACAGTGAAAGGATGGGCAACCTTCCCAAGAGTAGCCTCGCATCCTTGCCTCCTCGGTCCATCATTGGCCGCTTTTGCTGGCCGCGCCCCGCTCGAAAAGTTTCAAAATGGGCGTCCAAGGCCCTTGCATCCTTACCCCGCATCCTTACTATACTGGTTGACTGTAGACGACCCGCGCCTTCTCTGGGATGGGCGGTCTCGCCGTACAGGCGAGGCCCGTCAGCTACTCCAGGGCCCCGAGCGTCGCGAACCCTGGAGGCGGCGCTCCTCTAGAGGGAGTCTTCGGAAATCGTGGCGTGCGTCGAGAGTTTGGCGAGGTTCTCTCGCTGGGCTCCTCCTCCTCCTCCTCCCCCTCCTCCCCTTCCCCCTTCTCCTCCTCCTCCTCCTCCTCCTCCTCCTCCGCCTTCCTCCTCCGCCCTCCTCCCCCTCTTCCTCCTCCTCCCGCTGAGTTCCGCCTGCCTCTGCCGTGCGCGAGAGGTTTTTGGAGGCGGAATCGGCGATGGCGCGCTTGCCTCCGCCGCGGAGTAGGAAGACAGTACCCCTGACCATCTTGCAACTGCTAGGGGAGTCATCTGTGATGGGGATGTTTTCCACCACCACCACCATAAGTTGAAGGGGGGAAGGAGGAAGAGGAAGACGAGGAGGACGAAGAGGAGGAGGAGGACGAGGAGGAAGAGGAGGAGGAGGAGGTGGTGGAGGAGGAGGAAGAGGAGGAGGAAGAGGAGGAGGAGGAGGACCCCCTCCCCCTCCAACTTATGGTGGTGGTGGTGGTGGTGGTGGAAAACAGGCCCATCAATCTGTGTTGACCGCGGCCCTGCGCGAGGCCAGGGAAGAGTTGATCGGGCGCGACAGCGTCGGGCCGCCTCGCCGGCGGCTGCCGCGTGCGCGGTGCCGTCGTGGATTGCGTCGGCATGCCCACGTCGCAGTGCGTCGTAGGAGGGAAAAAACACACACACAAACTCAATGAATCGTCGATTCCCCAGAAAATGTAAGAACATATGGGCAGTGGGGGGAAGATCAAAACCCAGAAAAATTTGGAAAACATGGGGAATCCTGTTATTTTTGTCTATTTATTTGTGTGTGTCCTAGGGCCCCTTCAGTGTGGACGTGCCTGTGCGCATCCTCTGGCAGCTTGGCGATCTCGCACGCCTGCAGCGTCGCCGCGAGTGCCGCCCTGGGAGAGGGAGGTCCCCGAGGGGACTCAGGAGGGCCCCCAGAGGGCCCCAAGACGGCCCGAGCCCGCCAGCGGGACGGCCCAAAAGGGCCCCGGGACGGCCCAAAAGAGCCCCAGAAGGACGCCCAAGAAGGCCCGGAAATGCAGTGTGTATTTTTCTTCGCAACGTTGGCTGCTAGATTCTTGTATGCCGTACCGAAGCCTTACACCGACAGGGCTCCAAGACGCCAAGCCAGCGACCTCGCGCCCTCACAAAAGAACGTGCTTTCCGTCCCCATGCCAAGCAGGTCTCATGACTTTCGGCCAGTCCCGCCACCGTGCCTGGTTTGTGGGTCAGAGTTCTCAGGAATGCTTCTTCGGGTCTCTTCGGGGCGCTCTCGGGGGCCTCTCGGGAGCAGTGTGGGGGCCTCTTGGGAGCCTCTTGGGGGCCTCTCGGGGGCCTCTTAGGACCTCTTGGGGGCCTCTTGGGGAATCTTGGAGGCCTCTTGGGAACCTCTTGGGGCCTCCTGGGGGCTTCTCGGGGCCGAGGGCTCGAAATGTCCGTTCGGGTTCCTCATCTGGGCCCCCTCTTGGGGCCGTCTTTGGGCCCTCTTGGGCCGGCTTGGGCGATCTAGGGGGCTGTCTTGGGGCCCTCTTGGGGGCCTCTGGGGCCGCCTTGCGGCGATCTTTGGGGCCTCGTGGACCATCGTGGAACGTCGGGAAGCCGAATAGGCGAGAACGCCAAAATCTTTCAAAGCCGAGGGGGAGTCAATGATTTTGGCCTCTTGGCGCCCTCTGGGGGTGTCTTGGAGGCCTCTTGGACTGTCTTGGGGCCGTCTTGGGCGTCTTGGAGCTATCTTTCGGTGAAGCGGAGCACTCTGGTACCATCTTGGGGGCCTCTCGGAGCTCTCCTGGCCCGTCTTGGAGCCCCCTTGGGCCACGAAAAGTCATGCGACGAACCGCGGGGAACCGCGAAACGCCCCAGAAGATTTGCAACGTAAATTTGGGCCCCTAAGAGACTCCCCAGGAGTGAGGATTCATGCTTTGAGGATGAGAGACATGACCTGAGGACACACCCACTCCGTGCCCCGAGGCACAGTGGCGGACTGTGGACATAATGATAGATCATCATTGGATTTCGAACAGGCTGTCCTTTGCGAGCGTTCGGGGGATAGCTTAGATGCGATGTGATCTTGATGTTGTCCTCGCACTGTGTCCTCTCACTCTGTACCGCACGTGTCCATGCGCCATTGGCAGTCGATTGCTGGGTCCATTCGCTCTGCACTGGCGCTTGTTCTATTCGAACTAGCACCAAGCAGCCAGATGGAACATAAGTGTGAGGGCCAGACCTGTGACTGGGACAGTTCGGACGATGTGATCGGCTTTCTGCAGACCCTCGATACGACTTTCATGTGACACCTTGCATGGCTATTTGTGGCCTTGCATGGCTATTTGTGGCTGCTCACAGCATCCCCGTACTACGCCATGATGTTTTGCATCAATCCGCGGCCCGACGGGTCCCGATCGCTTCCCCGGGGATAGTTCTTCGTCCTGGGTTGATTTTGGATGGTCCCTGGGCGCGAACGTGGCCCCCGAGGGCTTGAATCGAGGAAGAGCCGCCAGTTGAGAACATCATCTCCTTGGAGACCTGGGACTGTATCTTTGCACACTTGATCCACCGCCCTCCCCAGTCGAGCACGTCTCCGTCCATCGACCACGACCACATGGCCGCTCTGCAGAGGCAGACCAGCGCGCGGGGGGGGGGGGGCCCTCGGCTCTGCGGTGCGGGTGAACGTCCTGGATTCGGCCCCTGAAGCATCCCCTAAGGGTCGTTGTTGTGCGGCGGGTGCCGCAGATGAATCATCATTTTCCGCTATTGGTTGGAACCTAGTCCTTCAATGAGGCCGTGGAACAAATGGCTGCCCCCCCTATCAGGGGGGTATCTAAAGACCCGTGCGGACCAACTTTATGATCTCGGGCCGAGATCGGCGCACTGCGGCCTCAGTTTGTTTCGAAATGCCTGCGTCTTTCTTCAGAGGAGGGGCGAGGTACCGATGCCGCTACCCTTCCCTCGTTTTCGCCCTGTTGGGTCTCCTGGGAGGCCCGCGTCGCCACAGCTGGCTTCGTCCCGAAGTCCCTGTCAGTGCGCACCCCCAGGAGAGGTCCGGGGAGCTGTTGCTCGATTGCCCTCCCATCTCTGCCTTCCGACATCGTCTCGGTGCAGGCTTGCCTTGATCTCAGATCCGCTTCCGACGGGCTGGCGCCCCTCTTAGGCAGTGTTGCAGCTCCTGTCGATTTTCTGCAGCTCTGCCCCGCTGATGAGGGATCTGCCGCCGACTGGCCCGCCCTCGATCGGGCGGGGTCGGGGGCGGTCATCCGGCGGCCCTCGAGCAGAATCCGCGGTTCGAGATGGGTCGGGCTGGCTGGATCAGGATCCAGGGTCCAGTTCGATCCGATCCAATCGATCCGATTCGATCCGATATCAATGCCTTTCTTGATCCGACTCGATGCCAATGGGGCGAGGATCCGATGCGGTCCGATGCTTGCGTGGCGCTGTTGTGCATCCTGGCGCGGCCGATCCGATCCGGTTTCGATTCCGTGCCGATGCGGCGCGACCTGGCGCACACTCCTATTTGGTCCGAATTTTCCGATCCGATGTTGGCTGATCCTGAGATCGGGGTCAGCCCGGTGGAGCAGCCCAGATCGGGCAGGGTGCTCCTGAACGCGTGGCCGCCGCGGCCGCTGGGCCGGCCGTCCTGGACGGAGGTTTCTCGTCCAGCGGAGCGGGGTGCTGCGACCACTTGCGAAACATACCCCAGCGGGTCCAACCGACGCTGGAGTGTCGGACACCCCCGCTGGGGGTCACGAGGCTGCAGACATCCCTCAATTTCTGAACCCCAGCCGTTTTTCTAGGCAACTGCCCTGCAGGGAGGGGGCTTCCATGTGGTTGCCCAGGGGTGCTGACATCTCCGTCGCGGCTGTGGCTGGCAGAAGGTCCGCAGAAGCCGCTGGAGTCCGGGGGCGTCGGCGTTGCCAGGCGGGCTCGCGTGGAGCGACTGGCGCAGCCGCGGCTTCCTCCCGGCCCTGGCCCAGGCAGAGAGCCAGCCGCCGGCCGCCCCGTCGACTCCCGAGCCGACCAGCTCGCCGACTCCCGCACCGGGATGGCGTGAAGGTGTCCTGCGGGGTGGTGGCGGGGCCACGCACAGGGACGCCATCCGCGTGACCAGCAGCATCTATTCCTGGGGTCGGCTGTTGTTGCCACCGGAGCTGCGCGCGCTCTAGGCTGAGGCTTCCATTGCCCGTTGACTCACTTTCCTCCCCCTCCTCCTCTCCCTCTGTCCTTTCCTCCTCTGCTGGCCGTCTGGGCATTATACGATTCATCCTGCAAAGGGGCTCTGGGCCCCGCCCGGGGCACCCGCCCGCTCGGAAGCCTCCGCCCCCCCGTTCTGCGAGGGTAGACGCGCCCAGTGGCTTCGGTGCGCCGCGGGTGTCCAACAGATCCTCGCGTCCTTGCTCCTTGCTTCCGCATGCGACTGCGCTCGTTGCGCGAGGGCGTCTGGCCCACCAGTGGAGCCCTTGGCTGTGGCCTGGCGTGCATTCCGGCTTAGCAGCGGATCTAGTCCGTGGTTGTTTTTGTTAGTTTCGCCCCCCCCCCCCCCCCCCCGCCTGCCCCCTTCCCCCCCGGCGCCGCGCAGGGCGCTGCAAGTGTCGCGGGGCCGGCGCGGCGCGGCCAGCGTTGAAATTGTTAGAGCAGTTTGGCGCCCAGTCCAGCGTTAAAACTGTTGGAGCTGCTTTGGCTGAAGGGATCGCGCGCGTGGAGTGCGCGCGCCGCGCGTTGCAAAGCGTCGAATTAATTTGCGCGGTAGTGGAGTGGCATGATGGCTGTTGGCGCGGTTGGACAAAATCCAGCGCCGCTGTTTCGCAGGGGGTCCAAGTTGGCGCGGCGTGCGGCCTGCGTGCCTACAACGATTGCGCCGCTCCAGTGAGCAATGTTGCATCCCGCCATTTCCGAAGCTAACTTCGAACGCGTAGCGCTCACGGCTCACCTCGGGGGCGCCGCTGAGAAGCTGGACGAACCTGGCGGGAGTAATTGCGTCATTGCCACCCTTGCACGTACCTTCGCGCACCAGGACGTCGCCACTTTTCCATGAACGGCTGAGGAGATTCAAGAACGCCTGGGCCATCCCTTCGCTCCGTGCCCCACGGCATAGGGATTGTTTACGACTGCCGCTTCTCTGACTCGCGCGACTTCTGCTGGAGGCCATTGGGTGCCTCTGTCAGCGCGCGCGCGCGCGCCCGCGGATTACACGCGGCCGCTCCGACAACCCTGCTGCCCGATTCGTTGCATCCTTCTCCGCGCTGGGACGTGAAGCAAATTGCGGCGACCTGCGCTTTCGAAGCATCCCGAGCCGATTTTCGACGGTTGCAGTGTTTGTCAACCGGAGCTCCTGCACATCAAGATATCGCGGTTCTTTGCGCGCCGCCTCGCACACGCGCGCGCGGGCATCGCGGGGCCAGATGCTGCAGCGCCCACGATCGTTGCGGCTTGTTGGGGCCATTTTTTTTTTCGTGTGGTTCCACGTTGCGCTCAGATGTGCTCGCGTCTTCGAGCCCGCTGCGCCAGCGCGCGGGGGTCTGTTCTCTCTGGTGGGCGCGCGGTTGCGCGCCCGAGCGGGTGGTTTTAGTCGCGCGCCGCGCGGCGCCGCGCCCTTCGCGTGCGGCCCCCGCCGCAAGCTGCGCGCGCGGCGGGGGTCAGCGATGCGCTCTGAGGCCTTCCCTTCGGCTGCGAGGTTGAGCAGCGCAGCGTGCCAGTGGCGAAGTTGGCGGCGCTACTCGTGATGGGCCTGTTTTCCACCACCACCACCAGAAGTTGGAGGGGGAGGGGCTCCTCCTCCTCCTCCTCCTCCTCCTCCTCCTCGTCCTCCTCCTCCTCCTCCTCCTCCTCCTCCTCCTCCTCCTCCTCCTCCTCCTCCTCCTCCTCCCCCCTCCAACTTATGGTGGTGGTGGTGGTGGAGAACGGGCCCATCAACTCGGACCCTTCAGCCCAAAGCTGATGGTGCTCTGCCCTGGAAAAGCACGCCCTGTTCTGTTCGCGTCGCGTCGCGTCGCCTGTGCGTGGCGGGCCGTGCGTAGGTGGGCCAAAACTTTGCCGAAGCATAGCTGGACGCGGGCGTGCACTCGCACGTTGCCCCCTATTGCAGTCCACGTGGCCTCCCGCGTTGTCGAAAACTGCTGCGCGAAACGCCCCAGACGTGTTCTGGCGACGCCCTCCGGCATATCTTCGCTAGTCTGGGGCCCTCAGGGTCGTCGCGGGGGCCGGCGGATCAGGGGGAGACCCCCCAATGGTTGTGGAGGACGATGAATGGAGAGGAAGCATGTTGCCAAATACTTTCCAGATGTCTAAAACATGTGTTAAACATGTTTGAATCACATAAAAAAATATGCTTAGAACATTTTCCAACATGTTCAACACATTTAAAATTCAATGATAGGACTGTTCGGGTGTCCATTGCCGTGGCATCCACAACCCAATGGCCTAATAATATTATATGCCGTGTTTTCTTGAGATCTTCATGCGGGGTCCTGTTTCGATAGTTGGGAACTGCGTTCGGCCAATTCTTGGGACGCCCCCGGGCCCGCGGTCACGAGACGCCCGAAGGGCCCGCCGGAAGCCACCAAGAGAGTTCACAATCAAGTCGCGCGCGGAAGTCCTCGCTTCAGTTGGCCTCAGGCCTTGCTGCAGTCGTTTTCGGGGCCCTCTTAGCGGCATCCCAGAGCCACTCTTGGAACCGCCCCCCCCCCCCCGTCCCCCTGCCTTCTCTCCGAACGTCGTGGCCTTCCGTCGTGCTGGCGGGCCAGCGACTTCGTTGCAGTCGCGTTTCCCCTGCTCGCGCAACCGGGCGAGGGGGCAGCCCACCCCCTTCCTCCTCCTTCTTCCTCTCTCGCCCCCCTCCCCTCTATCTCCTCCCTCCCGCGCTTCCTCCCGCTCTCGTCCCGCGTTTCTTGTCACCCCCTCCCCCTTCCCCACTCCCCCATGCTGTTTCCTTATCATCCAATGTGCTTGCGCGCGTAGCCATACTGCGCGTCGTTGCAAGGGAGGACGAGACCAGCGATGAGGAACGACAGGAGGAGCTGGGAGAAGGAGGACTAAAATGAAGGGGGGGGATTGCGACGAATCTTATGGAATGATGACAGCCGAAAAGACAACAAAATGGCAATGATGATGTGGATGGCGAGGAAGACCAGGAGGAGGATAAGGAGGAATACGATGTGAATAAGGGAGACGTGCAAACCTTTCGAACGGTGTCGGCCCTGATGACATGCACAAAGGAACCAGACTTGGGCACCTCTCGTCTTTGTTCAACTCCTCCTCCTTTTCCTCCTACTTATCCTCCTCCTCCTCCTCCTCCTTTTCCTCCTCTTCCTCCTCCTTCTCCTCTTCCTCCTCAAGTCTCACTGCGGATCCAGAGCAGCGCGAAACGCGTCGAGGGAACCTCTGCGCTCGCCCGCGCTTTGGCGGGATCTCCTATTTGAATTGCCGCAGGTTTTTTGACCCCAAAGAGCTCCATGAACGCCCTTGCGCTCCTCATTGGCGACTTGCCGAGCGAGTCTCTTGGACGCGACTAGAACCTAGGCGGGCGCGAAGTGCGCGCGTGGTTCTAGTTTGATGCAGAAGGGCGTCTGGATCTTGCTTTTCCGATTGGATGTTCGAGCGCGAAGGGGGCCGAGTGGGGAAGTGCTAATGTGTGGCGTGCGTTCGGTGTCAGCTCATCGTATGGTCGATGAGCTGCAGCCCAGCGGTTGGCGACCGCAGGGGCAGCTCGCTATGGTCGCCGTTGCCGTTGCCCTTGCCGCCTGGCGGTCGCGATCCGATGGTCCCGATGGTCGGTGCGATTTGACGGTCGCGGTCGGCCATCTGACCAGCCAGCCTTCCGCACGACTCCGGGGCAGGCGTGGGAGGTCGGTGGAAGTCAGGCCCGGGCGCCCGCGGGGCGAGGTCCATGTCCATGAGCAAGAAGGTGCCCCTGAGCCTGGAAGCGAAGCGGCAGCCCTGCCTCTCCGTCGCCAAGCAGGCCGGCGCCGGGACGGGTGCAACAGCTGTGCGCGCCTCCACGGCCACGGCGGGCTCGTGTCGTGTTGACGCGGCAGCGACCCCGCCGCGGCCTTTCCAGGCCGGCTGCCGCCAGCCGGGGCCGCCTGCGATCCGGTTCGCTGACGGTTAGATGCGCCGGCCGGGGCCGCGATGCAGCTTCGACTCGGGCCGGTCTGCTGGCGCCGGCTGGGGCCAGGGCCAGGGCCAGGTGCGGCGATCCGAGTTCTCCTCGACTCGGGGCGATTCGTTGGCGGTCCGAGCCGTCCCCGACCCGACCCGATGTACCACGCCGATCCAGCTCATCGGAGGAGGAAAAGGTACCCATACACCTCTACCCCCTCGCCCGTTTTCCCCCTTTTTGGGCCTCCTGGGAAACCCTCGTCGCCACCGCTGGGTTCGCCTCGAGATTCTGGTCAGAACGCACCCCTGGAGAGGTCCGGGGAGTAGCGGTATCGGTTTTTGCTCTCCTTGGCTCATGGCTTGCCAGTGGAAGCTGCAGGTGTGGAGCGACCTGGCGATCGAGAGGCCACCGAGCGCGCGAGGCTGAACATCCGCACGGTGTCAGAAGCCAGCGCAGGGCCCGTCACGAGTCACGACACGAGCCTGCCGTCGCGCACGGCAGGGTTCAGGGCTTGCCAGGGCACCCATCGGAAGTTGACAGGTAGGGGTGCTGTGGCTTCGGTTTTGTTGCAATGGTGCTCGTGGCGCTCACCAGCTTTCGACCGCGTTGGCGCTCGCATTCGCTGCTGGCCAGAGTTCGTATCACTTCAGACTTTCGGGCCCACCTCTTGGTCACTAGCTCGCCGTGTCAGCAGGGGCGGCATTTCCCTTGGGTGTCCCGACCCTTTGGATTCCGCGCGACAAGTTCTGGGGGGTGGACATCGGTTCTCTGTTTCGCTATTCCTAGCCTGTGCGGCTTCGTCGCCACATTTCCCTGCACAATCTGGCTTTCAACTTCCGGCTCGATTGTTCATTGCAGTGGCGTCTTTACAGTTGCCTTGTGCGATGCCGCCTTGATTTGTTGATCCCGTTGCCCATGGCCCGTTGTTTTGCGCCGCCTCTTCGGTCCCCTCGCGAGGAATGGCGGTCGGCTGCTCGTTCGGTTACTCGTGGCCCGTTGCCCCCCTCTCCGCTCACTCGTGCGGGAGGGCGTTCTGCGTCTGATCCGGCCGCCCGGGACCGGTTGCCCCTCCGTGGCCGCCCCGCGAGACGAGGCGGCCTCCGCCAGATCCGATCTCCAGAGCACGCCGTGAGGCCTGAGATCCCAAGGCAGCTTGAGCCGTAGGCTACCAACGGGCGTGCGTGCTAGAGCAACAGTGAATTTCGCGATGTGGAAGTTGGTGGCCAAGTGGACTCCCGCTAGCCGTTTCGACAGCGTGAGGGGAGAAGGGTCGACGTTGTGATGTAGAAGTCGGTAGCCCTGCGACTATTGGTAACTGCCGTGTGTGCGCTGGTCTTCGAGTGCAGATCAACGGAACCAGACTGTATTCCGTGACGTGGAGATCGGTGGTTCGCTTGCTATTCCCAGCTCTCTTATGTGCTTGTCCGGTTGGCTTTGGAGAGCGACAGTCTGGATTGTCTCGCGGCTGTATGTGGGACGGGTCTGGCAGCTCGTGTCGACGGTGGTATGCTCGGGTTCGTGATGCGCGCGCTTTTGGCGGGCCGTTCGGCCTTCTCCGCGCGCTCTTCGGTGACGAAGGTCTGAGAGCCCACTGTGCGAAGCCCTGGTGATGTAGGCTCCCGTTGAGCGGGCGGCCGGATCGGATATAGAATGTGGGGCCCACCGCTAAAGCCATTCGACGGTAAAGGGCTGGGGGCTCGAGATATCCCCCGTCGTGATTTGTTCACAACGTGGCTTCCCAGAAGTCTGGACCCCTTCCCAGGGACCACTTCTTCATCCAGAATCGGTTTTTGTTGACGGTCCCGTGGCCCAATGACAGACACCTTCCGTCGTGTGTTTTCACGACGAGGGGACCTCAAAGGCCAAGCTCCATTGCGCAGTGCTTGGGCCACGTGGGCGGGATTCGCGAGCGGCCTGGCGTGTGTGTGTGTGTGCCCCAGGAAACGAAGGCGGCCTCCTCGCTGCGGCTGCGGCTGGCGCACCTCGAGGCATTCCCGCCGGCCATGGGGAGGGGAGGCGTCGAGTGTAGGCGGATTTTGGCGTAGCTGTGCCCGCTCCTACCCTTGCCTCGCTTTCGCCTCTTCGGGTCTCCTGGTAGGCCTCAGTCGCCACGCCCGGATTCGCTCCGAAGCCCTGGCCAGAACGCGCCCCGGGGGGCAGGCCCCAGCAGTCGCGGCATCGGTGTACTTGGGTGCCCCACTTCTTCTCGCCGTTGGCAGCAGCTTCTGTCCCTCACGGGCGTGCTCGGGGGCCCAAACATATACACCACCACCACCTCCCTCCCCCCCCTCCCTCTCGCTGGAAAGAGGAAAGAGGAGGAATCGACGTGGTGGTGTATATTCTTTGAGCCCCCACGTGCTGCCCTCATCAGCAACGGTTTGTGGTTGTCCTTGCGCGAGTGATCGCACGCCCGCGCGAGCGGGCTGGTGGTGCCGGGCGAACAGACGATCGAGCAGCAGCCGAGGCGTGCAGGTCTGCCCCTCGCGCTCGGGAGGAGCTTTCCGCACACACACACACACATCCTGGGTTTCAGTCGGGCCTGTCCCTCTACAGGGGCAATATCCAGAAATAGTCAGAAAATAGTATGGGGGCTATTTTTTGACCATTCTTGAGCATTTTTTGGGTATTTTCTGGGCATTTGTAAGTTTTCGCCCAACACCGGCCTGCAGGGGGACAGGGCCCGACCTGACGCTGGGTTCAAAGCTGGAGCGAGAGTCGCCAGAGCGCCGTCCGCATGCGGGCCACAGGTCCAAGTGGGTCGCGCCGCCTGGGCACTGCGGGGGAGCAGCGAAGATCCCGAATCCCCACGGGTATCTGCGGCATTGACCCTGGGCTGAGCCGCTTGGGCTAGGCTTAAGTCGGGCTTGTCCCTCTTACAGGAGGAGTATTCCACAGTAGTCCAAAACATAGTCTGGGCACGATTTTTCTGTGGTGTTTTTGAATATTATTGGGATTTGGTTGTAGCATTTTTGAATTTGTCGTCCAAAAGCCGCCTGCAGAGGGACATGCCCGACCTAGGGCTAGCCGGCAGGACTCGCCGCCAGGAGCTGTTTTTTTGGGGTCGAGCGCACTGGATACGCCGCCGAGGGGCACCTCGAGGCACGTCGCGCTGGGAACCCCGTGAGTCCGCGCGGTGCCGCGCGGCACGGCACGACACGCCGCCAGCCACCCGGTGACGTTTCTGAGCAGATCGGGGGTGGATAGACCTCCTGCCCTGACACGTCGATGAGCGAATTGGCCGTTTTCGGTTCGCGAGAGGGCGTCGCGGCCGTCGTTTTTGTGGGTCCAGGTCCGTCGGTTTCGGTCCCAGGCCGTTTTCACTAGATGGAGGTTTACTTGGAGGTTTACTAAAGGGAGGTTCGTCCACCGCCGACTCAGGTGCCGAGAACGTGGCATTGTGCCGCACGACGCGGACCTGCACCAGAAACCAGATCCTGTTTCCGAGCGTCCTGGGGGGCGGTCCGCCAGGGACCCGGAGGGAGGGTTCCCCGAAGACCCGCGCATGTTCACGTTTCCGTATTTGGTTGTTCTGCTTCGTTTCAGGGCGACCAGACGACCGCGGAGGCTGCAAACTCCCGCGATCCCCTGGCTGCCGCAGGAGAGGAGCCTCCTCTCTCCTACTTCCCCTTCCCTCCTCCCCCCTCCCACTCCTCCCCCCTTTCCTCCCCATCTCCCCCTTCCTCCCCTCCCCCCTCCTCTCCTCCCCCCTCTCCCCCCTCCTCTCCCCCCTCCTTCTCCCCCTCTCCCCCTGCTCCGCCTCCCCCCCCCTCCTCTCCTCCCCCCTTTCTCCTCCCCCCTCCTCTCCCCCTCCTCCCCCCTTCCAGTACAGCACGGCACGTTGCGTTCACGAACGGGCTGGGCAAGGTGCAGTAGGGTACGGCACGGCGCGGCATGCTGGCGGGAGCCACATACCGTTTTGATGTTGGGCGCTGGCGCGTGAGCCCCGAGTAGTGGCCTGGTGTGAACCGAGAGCAAAGAGCGTGAGGACTGCAGTGAGTGATGTCTACGGATGGCTCGTTCCGCCGCCTCTGTTCCTTCTCCTGTAATATATATATAGGCGTACACACATATATATATATATATATATATATATATATGATTGCAGTGATTCCTCGACGCGCGGGCGCTCTGGCTTCAAGCTCTCATTCACCGGGCGCCCTCGCGCGCCCGTCCCTCCCGCGCACCTTCCAGTGGATGCTCGCCTCGCTCCTGGCTGCGGCGGCGCCCTGCGTGCACCTGACCCCTTGCGGGGCCGGCACCTTGCCGGCCGGCGTGGCCCCTGGCGCGGGCCCCGCGACCCGGGACGTGGGTACGCAGCTGCCTGCGCCGCTTCGCCTCGGAGGACGAGGCAATCGCGGGCTACCCTGCCGAGGCTGACCGCCACGGCGCCCCAGTGCCGCCTCCCCTCCACCGCGGGGGAAGATGGCTCAGGAGGAGAACGCGTTCGACACTGGCGAGGAGGAGGTCGAGGACCTGGGCGCCTGGTTTGGGCATGCCACGCCCCAGAACGTGGCGGCCACGTCCCTGCTGCCCGCCCCTGCTGCTGGAGGGATCGCTGGGGAGTTCGTGTTCCTCACTCTGAAGGACAGCGTCGACTCGGACTACGAGGTCACGGTGGCGGCGTTGCGAGTGCGGGCCGACGCCCTCTCGACCGTGGCGGTGGTGCCCTCGGGTCGGCTCGACACTGCCTACGAAGCCATGCATCTGCCAGCCTGGGATCGCGTCGGGTCGCCTTTGGACGGCCAGCTGCTCTCGGCCGAGATCATGGAGACCCCGAGCGCCTTGGTGAGGCGCTTCGCCTCCGCGCCCCCCGCCGAGGGCGAGGTCTACGCCTTCCACGACGATGGCTGGTGGCCCGACCCCGTGGCTGCCGTGAACGCGGTCCCCGCCGAGATGCTGGCCACTCTGGACTCCCGCCGGGGCGCTGGCGAGCCCGCGCTCGAGGCGACAGGCGCACCTCAGGAGACGGGGCCGGCGTCGTCCGCCTTCGGACCGCAGCTCCGCCCCCCTCTGGTGCCCGGGCTGCAGCCAGTGGCCGCAGGGGCTGGGTTCGGCGCGTGGTTCTCCGGGAAGGCCTCTCCGCTCCCTCCAGCCGCCGCCACGACGCCTCCGAGCGAGCTGTCGGAGCAGTCGCAGCTTGGTGCGGTCGAAGAGTTGAGGAGCCTGGCCGCGGAGGTGGCGGAGCTCAAGCGGCAGCGGGCAGCCTTGCACGCGCAGCCAGCTGCGCCGCCCGCCGCCCCGAAGGCTCCGACCTGGAAGGCCGCCGCCAGGAAGGCGCCGCAGCAGCAGCAGCAGGTCCTGGAGCAGATCTTGGCTGGGCAGAATGCACTCTTGGGGAGGATCGCAGCCTTGGAGGCCGGCGCAGGGCCAGCTCGGAAGGCGGCGGCCCCTCCAGACTGGCGCCTGCCTCAGGCGGCCAGCATGGCCCCGCCCTTCGGACTCCTCGGCCCTCCTCCCCTCGGTGGTCCTCCGCCGGCGGCTCTCGGAGGCGGGGTTCTAGCCCCTCAGGGCCTGCCCGCCGCGCGCGCCGCTGCTGCCGCCGCCGGACCTCCTCCGCCTCGCCGGGGAGGTGCGGCGAACCCGTTCCTGCAGCGGCCCCTCTCCGGCCAGGCGACCGCGGGCCCCCCAGGCTTTGCTCCGACGCAGGGCCCTCCGCCCTCGCCTCCACGCGGCCCAGTCCCTCCTGCGAGCCAGACCGCAGAGCCCCAGCCCCCCGTGGCTCCCACAGGAGCCGGCGACCGCGAAGAGCAGCGGATGGCCCTGTTGGCCCGGCAGGCGTCACTGATGGGGGCCCTGGCTCAGAGCGGCGGTCGCCAGCCCGACGCGCTGTCGCTCCTCGCGGACGGCGGGCGCGACGAGGGGCTTGGCGAGAGCTCTGGCATGCGACTTGGCGGCGCGCGCGGCGCCGCCGCCCTGGAGCTGTTCCGACGCCGGGACCAGAGCAGCCCCCAGGCCGTCTCCGCCCTGGCCAGGCGGAATCGCCAGCTCAACATGACGGGTGCTGCGAGCGAGGAGGGCATGAGCGACTCCACGCGGAACTACTTCGCCCGCAACGTCCCGTTCGGGCAGGCGAGGTCGTCGGCCTTCCTGGTGTTCGGCATGGCGGAGGTGTTCGACCTGATGGAGCGCGGCTCGTGGCACGCCGCCGAGGCCCAGCTGGCGCTCCTCCTCTGCGCGTCGGAGCAGGCGGCCCTGAGGGAATGGCGCTGGACGTCAGCCTGGCTGCTGACTCACCTGCCCGAGCCGCCCTGGACTTCGATCCGCCAGGCGCCGGCCCGCGGGCAGATCCGCCCCATGTCCCGCTTGGCCTCGCCCGAGTGGGTCGCTGCAGCGATCGGCTACACCAAGGACGCGCTGGCCCTCGAGGACGCGGAGCGGAAGCTTGCGCCGGCCGCGGCACCGAGGGCCGAGGAGGGCGGAGGAAAGGGGGGGGGGCTCGAAGCGCCACGGCAAGGCCGCTGGCGCGCCCCCTCACGAGTGAGAGCGGGGCTCCCTGGGCTGGCTGGCCCGGGAGCTCTGCATGGCGCTGCCCCAGCCTCTCTGCCGCGCGGACGCGCGGGGGACCGCAGGAGGCTGGTGGGCGGCAGCAATTCGCTGGGCGTGGGCATTCGCTGGGGCTTTGGCCTGTTCCGCCGCCTGCGCGGGCTCCGCACGGCCTTCGGCGCCTTCGTCCGCTCCTCCATGCACGCCGCTGGATTCCAGGAGGTTGCGACTCCTGCCGCCGGTCTGCTGCCCTGCCCCCCGCCCTTCGGGTGGGCTGCTGGTACCCCCCCGCGGGGCGTGCGCGCTCGCAGGCGATGGCTCCGCACTCACGTCGAGCACATGTGGGTCAACGCCGTCATCCTCGCACTCTCCCACCTGCACCTGGGCGAGTCGCGGAGCTGCCCGCCGCGCGCCCGCGCTGGGAGGCCTCTCAGCTCGTCTCAGTCCGAGATGGTGTCCAGGCTTAGTAGGCTAGTGCGACCGATGTGCCGGCCCCTGCAATGGCAAGGTGGCCGCGTGGAGACGGCTGACGCTCTGCTCGACTATCTCCTGCGTGCGATGCATCTCCCCGTGGGCGCTGTGGCGCCCTCTCCCGACTGCGAGATGATGACCATTGACCCGAGCAAGGCCCCCTTCGCCAAGGCCGAGTGCCATTTTGACCCCCTGGCGTTCCTGGCCCCGTTTGCCGCCGCCACGTTCTTGGAGCCGCGGCTGCTGGCGCGGGATGGGCCAGGTGCCGGCCCTCTGGCGCGCGCGGTCGGGCCCCCGGCCCGGCCCGCTCCTGCGAGGCCGGCCCGCCAGGCGGGCAAGCCGGGCGACCTCCTTGAGTACCTGAAGCAATGGGACGACGTGGGGCGACTGGAGCTGGTCGACGCGGCCGACTCCCCGCAGGCCCTGCGAGGCACCCTGTTTCCCGTGTTCAAGGACGTCAGCACGCAGAGGGTCGTCTTCAATCGCATCGCTCGCAATTCGTCTGAGTTGCCACTGGGTGGCTTCTCCAGGCTGACCCCGAGCGCCGCCATGCTGGTGGACCTGGAGGTGCCGGCTGGTTCCGTCCTTCGCGTCTGGGCGGGCGACCTCCAGGACTTCTTCCCCGCCTTTGACTGCACCTACGACATGGCTTGCACCAGCGACGTGGCGCTCCCCCTCCCGACGAGGCTCTACGAGGGTTTCGCAGCGCTGGGCCGGCTTCGGAAGCGCTGCCGTCGCGAGGGCCGCGAGCTCCCCGAGAAAGTGGTTCCCTGCCACGGCGGCCTGATCATGGGGGGCCTGAGCGCGCCCGACTGGGCGTGCGAGTCCCACATGCGACTGCTCGCCCAAGCCGGCAGCTTCCCCCCAGAGCGGCGGGTGCTGAACCGCCACCTTGCCCCCGAGGGGTCTGCCTGGGAGGGCGTCGTGCTGGGCGACCACTTCGGCCTGGCTGTCGACGCTCCGGGCTCGCGGGAAGCTCGGCGAGCTATCGAGGAGTCCTTCGCCCCTGCGCGCGAGGGCTATGCGAAGGCGGGCCTCAGGGTCAGCGCTGGCAAGGAGGTGAAGGACGCGGCGGAGGCAACGGTCATCGGGGCAGAGCTCCTGGGTCATGACCGGCTCGTCGGCGCCTCCCGCACCCGCAGGCTGGCGCTGGCCTGGGTGGCCTGTCCATGGCTCGGGGCCGACGCTCCACTACGCTGGGACTGCAGAGATTCCTTGGCATGGGGCTCTTCGCCGCGCTGTTCCGGCGGCCGACCCTGTCGCTTCTCCACCACTGCTACAAGGAGGTCGACGTCGACCGCAACACGCACGAAGTGTTCGACCTGAGCAGCGCGGCCTGCAACGAGTGCGCCCTGTTCGCAGTCCTCGTCCCGCTGATGGCCACCGACCTCTCCGCGGGCTGGGGCCCGCACGTTCTGGCTTCGGACGCCTCGCACCTGGCCGGAGCGTCCGTCAAGACGCCGGCCTCAGCGCCCACCGCCAGAGCGTTCTGGCGCCAGCGCGAGCAGCGAGGCGCTCGCACGTGGCTGTACCCCTCAGGCTGGGCTGCCATGGCCAACCCCGAGGACGGCGCCGTCCTGCAGGACCTGGAAAAGGATGCCGCACCTCCCCCTGGCATTGTCGACCCGACGGCCTCGCTCATCGAGTACTTTGACGTGCTGGAGCTCTGCTGCGGGGAGGAGGCCCGCCTCATGGGGTACCTCTCGGGCCGGGGCCTGCGCGCAGGCCCGAGGATAGACATCAAGTGCCACAAGTACTGGGACCTGGTCGACTCGCGCCTAGCGGAGTGGATAGTATGGCTGATCTGGCAGAGGCGCGTCAAGATGACCATATCACAGGTTCCGTGCGCCAGCTTCTCGATCGCGAGGCACCCGAGGCTCAGGTCCAGGATGCGGCCCTGGGGATTCGACCCATCCTCGACCCCGACGCATCTGGGGAACGTCCTCTTCAGGGTGGGCATGCTGGCGCTGTTTGCCCACCTGATCTCTGGCCACGGGACCGGTTTGCACGAGCATCCCCTGACGGCCTACTCCTGGCGCACGCACATCGTCGAGTTCCTGCTGACGCACAAGGCCGTGGACCGCTTCGACCTCTCGATGTGCCAGTTCGGCGCGCCTTGGAAGAAAGACACTAGCCTCCTGGTGGTGCGGGGCTCCTGGCTGGCGCCTATGGCGAGGCGCTGTCGCGGAGGGCACGAACGCGCCGTCTTGGAGGGCGGCCTGACCCCCAAGGCCGCGCTCTACCCGCACGGCTTCTGTGACGAGCTGTCCAAGCTGATCGCCGACAGCCTGGACGGGCCGACCCCGCCACCCCCGGCGGAGAGTTCGGCGCCCGCTGGAGCGTTCGAGGCCCTCTGGCTGAACGACTACGTCGGCTTCGCTCCCTGGCAGCTGCACTGCCACCGCCTTTTCCGCAAGCCCCTCCACATCAACTTACTGGAGATCGACGCAGCTTGCGACGCGGTGGACGAGCAGGGCCTACGGTTCCCGGATTGCAAGCACAACCTCCTCCTGGACTCCCGCGTCTCGATCGGGGCCATCAGCAAGGGCCGCTCCTCGTCGACTACGATCAACAAGCTCTTGAGGAGGAGGGCCCCGTTGCAACTGGCCGCGGGCTCGTACGTTGGGTGCCACTTTGCGCCGACGCGCCTGCAGCCGGCCGGCGTCCCGTCGCGCGCGCTCCGCGACCCGGCGAGCGCTCTGGCCCGCGGGGCCGAGGCCCCGCCGCCCGCTCCGTGCTGGCTGGCCGGCCTCGAGGCCGGGGGCGCCTCAGCCTTCCGCGCTTGGGCTGCGCTCCCGCTGCAGCGCCGGCAGCAGTCGCGGTGGGCTTGGCTGGTGGCGTGCCTCTGGTGGCGCGGGCTCCTGCGGCTCGCCCCCCGACCGCGGGTGCGCGACCCCGCGCTGGGCTTCCCGGGCGAGGGCCCGCGCGGTGGAGGCGGCTGGCCTGAGAGGCCCCCTATGGAGGTGAGCAGGGTTTCATCCCCTGGTCAGGTGACGGCCCGGCTCCTCCCGGGTACGGCCAGCCTCCATCAGGGTCGGGCTCGTGGAACCCTGGCACCGGCCTCCTGCGCCGCTGCAGCCTGGCCGGCGCGGCCGCTGGGCCGCCTCTTCGGGCTCCTGGTGCTGCTGCTGCTGTGGGGCCCTGCTGCCGCGCCGCGCCCGCCGACCGCCCGCCCCGCTGGGGTGGACTTGGCGGCCACGCGCGGCCTGGCGCCAGTGGTCCAGGCGCGCCGTGCTGCCCTCGTCTCGCAGCTCGAGCACTGGCTGGCGGGCCACGGCGGGCCCAGCTGGGACCTGTTCATCCTGATGGACCCGGCGACGGTGGCGCGCTACCTGGCTAAGTACGGCCAGTTCCTGTACGACACGATGCGGAGCCGCCACGACTACGACGAGACGATTCGTGCGGTGGTGGACGCAAATCGTGCCCTCCGACACCGGCTAGACGCTGCGTGGGACATCTCCTTCACGTGGAAGCACCTCACGCCGGGCTCGAACCACCAGGCGATGCTGGAGGCGCTGCTGCTCGCCTCGGTGAGCTTGGCGCTGGCGTGGGGCTGGCGCGACGTCGCCGGCTGCCTGCTCCTCGGCTTCTTCGGGATGATGAGGCCCTTCGAGTTCCTGAGGCTGAGGTTCGGGGACCTCGTGCTCCCCTCGCGGACGTTGGAACGTCTGCAATCGATGTATGTGCACGTGGGTGCGCCCAAAATGAGACGCCTGGGCGCGCGCCGCGAGCACATCAGGATAGATGTCCCGCAAGTTGTGTGTTTCTTCGAGGCCCTCTCTCTGCGGTCCTCCCCTCGCGTCCCTCTCATGCATGGTGGTGTCCGTGTTTTCAGATCATGTCTGGATGCCCTCATGGATTTTTCGGAATTAAACATTCAGACAAAGTTGGCATCACCCCCGCGTCCCTCCGTCCGGGAGGGGCCACTTTTTGGTATAGACTCACAGATTCGCCAGACTGGGTTCGCTACAGGGGTAGGTGGCTCTCCAGTAGGATGTTGGAGATTTACTTCCAAGAGGTCGGGGCTAGTACGCTCCTCGCGGACCTCCCGAGCCCCCTCCGTAGCAAGGTCCGCCTTTTCGCCGAGGCTGCCGGCGACTTCTTTTTCGAGGCCACCTGGCAGCTTCTGTCTTCGAGTCGTTTGCCGAGGCCGAGCGACGTCGACCCCCGCCCTTCCGGTCACCGTCCTCGTGTGCCGCCGCCGCTGCCAACAGAGCTCTTCGGTGCCCGCTTCGCTCCTCCCTCCTCCGCCCCTTCTTCCACCATGAGCGGTTTTGGCTAGTCGAGGCCGGCCCCAACTGAGGCCGCCCTCGAGCTGTCAGATGTTTGCAGAGGCAGTGGTGAGCCTGGAAAAGTGCATCGGCCTTGGGTTTAAGAGGAGCTTTTTCAGCAGAGGAAGGGCATCGCTGATTGCAGTGATTCCTCGACGCGCGGGGGCTCTGGCTTCAAGCTCTCCCGTGCCCGCCCACCCTTGGCTAGTCGAGGCCGGCCCCAACTGAGGCCGCCCTCGAGCTGTCAGATGTTTGCATAGGCAGTGGCGAGCCCGGAAAAGTGCATCGGCCTTGGGTTTAAGAGGAGCTTTTTCAGCAGAGGAAGGTCATCGCTATATATATATATATATATATATATATATATATATATATATATACGTATACACGTATATATACATACGCATACATGTACTATAGTCTGAAATTTGCGTTCGTGTTGAATGAGAGCCCGAACGCACGTCCTTTCCGTGCATCAGTATAGTAGCCCGTGCGACAGAGAGCCAGCCCGCGCGACATAATGCTTGTGCCAGAGAGACCGCCCGTGCGACACCACCCGCCCGTGCGAGTGGTGCAGTCAGTGGGCATTTGCCCTGTCCGGATAGAGCTGGGACGCCAATCGCAGTGAGTGCAAACACAGTGCGGGAATGTCTCTCTCCCCCTCCTGTGTAGCGTGGTGTTGCCGTGGCAGATGCATGGTTGGCTGCTTTTCCCTCCGCCCTCCGCATGTGCATGACCTGTGTTAAATGCAGCTACATAGCTTCAGTCACGGAGCAGACAAGGACTGTTGCTGCGTCCGTAGCCACCTTGGCTTTCAGTTTCAGGGTTCCGCGCCGGTTCAGAAGTTACCGCCGATCATCTTCGCGGCTTGTTCTGATCGTCGCACATATATCAATCAAATTTGGTGGACGCGCCGGGATTTATGGGGATAGGGATCCTACAGGACCCAACCATGGTTTTGAAGTATTGCTCGCCGTCGCGCCCGCCACACCGATAGGCGCGAGCCGCTTCGGTGCCGCCGCAGATGGTGGAGGGCGACCTGGTGGCAGGCGCAGGCTTGGCCGTGGTTCAAGGCGTGCGGTGCGCAGGGGAATCGTTCAGCGTCACGGGTCCGGACGCTGCGGGGGAGACGTTCTCGGGCCAGCAACGTGGGCTGGGTAACGCGGAGCAGGGGCTCGTCCAAACAGCTGCTGGACTACGCCAGCGGGAACAATGCTTGACGGAGACGGAGGCCTCGAAGTTGGAGTACCGCGACGAGCTGCGCCTGGCCACAGACATCGCGAGGCATCGCGTTGCAGTTGGGCAGGGCGAGCTGCGTCGTGCAGTGGGCGATGCTGAGCGAGGTTTCGCTGCCGAGCAGGCGGGCCTTAGAACGGCTTACCAGAACCTGGAGCTGCAGTGACACGCCGCAGAGGAGGCTCTCGCGGCGTTTTGGGTCGAAGCCAAGGGGGCAGGGAAGCAGGCCACCCAGAGGGCAGCGGCCGCCATTGCCAACGCGGCCGCCGAGACCGCTGCCGCCGACCTCGCCCGCGAACGCGGACAGCGCCAGGCATCCAGAGCAGACGGTCTGTTTGGCGGCGTTAGCCGGAGCGGAGGGCGCAGCCGAAGCAACCCAAAACTATGCCGATTCGGCGGATGCCGAGGCAGCCGCGTGCAGATCGGTTCGCGAAGAGGAGCGACGCCAGGCTGCAAGGGCTCGAGGTCCCGGGGTGGCCGTGGCCAGAGCCGAAGGGGCGCCGAGGCCGCCCAAGGCCGCGCCGACGTTGCGGATGCCGAAATGATCGCTGGCAGCCGCCAGGCGCAGGAGGCACTGCGGCGCGCCCGAGCCGCGAGAGCGAGGGCCGAGCATTATGTTTCCATTTTGGAACCCGAGATTCGTCTCGCCGAGGCACGAACCGCGGGGGCGAGCGGGTCGACCGCGACACTCTCACCGGCGAGTGCCGCGAACTCGAGCAGCAGTGCTTCGAGGTCGCAGAGGAACGCTGACAGTGGCACCGCGAAGACGAGACTCTCGAGGAAGCGGATGGGCGGCCCAACTTGACTGCGCTCAACGTTTCAACATCGGAACGCTCCCTGGCGTCGCCGCTGCCAGCGTTGGAGCGCGACCGCCAGCGATTCCGACGCCAGGTAACGACACCATTGCCGCCCCGACTAGGGCCGTGGCCGAGCATTCCCGGATGCAGGCTGCGAGCTTGCAGCAGGCGTAGGCGTCCGCGCGGCCGCGAGAGGCCCGGGGCGACCTTGCGGAGGCTGTGGCCAAGGCGTCTCGCCAGAGCACGCAGTGGATCAAGCGTCCAGCGTCGAGTCTGGGGGCCGCAGGCGCGGGCTCGCTCCGAGCATTTCAACGAGGCTCGGACCGACGATCGTCGGCAGTGGTTCTGCCTCGACCAGGGCATCGGCAGCCGTGCAGCCCTGACAGAGATGGAGCATGTCATCGCGCGCGACTTCGGTGGTGAGGAGAAGCTTCATCAGCTCTACGCGGGCGCCAGGGTGGACGACGCCTGTCGGCTCGAGGAGTTGGGGACCTTCGAGGCCCGCTTGAAGCAGATGGCGCCGCTGGGCGACAAGACCGAGCTGATCGCGGCGATCTGGCGTTGCACCTCCGCGAAGCGGAAGTCGAGCAGCGTTGCCGACTGCGCCGCCCTCCTGGAGGCTTACAGGAACGCGCGGACGGACTTGCCGGGGCACGGCCTATTGGGCGACTCGGACCCGATGGCGCGCCTCCGAGAATTCCAGGATCTCCAGGCGGAGATCGAGGGTTCCTTTATGAGTAAATGGCTACTGGAGCTGCCGGATTTCCCGCGCATGATGGAGTTTGCAGACCCAGCGGGCGCCCGCGCGACCAAGTGCAGGCCGTTCGTCGAGGCCGGCCAGGGCGGTTGTTTTAGCGCAGAGAAGCCGACGAATCACCGGGGCGACGGCCTCCCGCAGCTGGCGGGGTCTGGTGGCCGAAAGAGGCGCGGCAAATCGCGCGGGCCGAAGGGCCGGCGGAAACTCCGCAGGGCGCCGCTTCGGCTTTCAGCGGCGGCGGCGGGCGCCCGGGCGCCGCTCGCGACCCCGACCGGCCCGAGGGTGGATGCCGGGGCAATGCTGGCAGCGGGCCAGCGGCTTCGAGGCGCGGCGGGGGGGCGCGCGCTGAGCGCGTGGAGTGCCCGAGCGGCGCGGCTTCCATGCGGGGGGGCTTCGACGCGTTGAAGGCTGCGAAGGAGATTGCACTGCGCTGGCGCTGCCACCCTGGGCCCCCCTACACGTGCCAGGGCGCGGGGCGCCCACTTCGACGCCGCGTCGCTTGCCTTGCGCCGGCGGCGGAGAGGGCGAACGACAAGGCCCGCGAGGAGTGCCTCGAGCGCCGCGAGAAGGGCGAGACTCGCAGGGCGGGCAAGGGCATCGGCAGCGGCGGCGCCGCAACGCGGCTGGACTTCACCGAGGAACGCGCGGAGGAGAGTGCGCGGCCGATTGCTGCCGACCGCGCGCTTTCGGCCTTGCTCGTTTGCGGCGGCGAGGGTGGCGACGGCGCGGCGGGCCCGTGGCCGTCCTGCAGGGCGTGCGACCCGCGGGCCTGCGCGCTCATCGATGCGATGGGCGCCGACGTGAACGACCCGGAGGGCGAGCGCGAGGTAGAGGGCGCTGGCAAGGCCGGGGTCTGCGCCCGAGCGCGCCGGCGCGACAGGCGCCGGGAAAGGGCCCCGCTGACG